GAGGCCCCGGAGAAAACCCACGAGGTTGGACAGGCGACCCTACTCCTTGCCACGTACAACCGGGGATTCGAAACCACGCCAGTCGACTCAATGACAGACTTTATGATACAGCGCGCGCACGCTACCCATTCAGCCATCCAACCCCCCTCCAATATTATAGAAATGAAATGAGGTATAACATCCTACCGTACTGCTCTGACTGGGATAATGAAATTTTGTCCAGACAGCGGCGCTAAGGCTTACTCCTGTATCCAATTCCAACTGGCAAGGAACTTTTACGTGCACGCCAATGGGTACTTTGTCAAATACCATTTACATACCAATTTCTACTTTGGCATTAGACTTTTCAATAGACTATCAGAGCAACATACTGAAGAAGAAATCAAAATAGAAAAAAAATTAAAATGTAAATAAATGTAGCTTTATTTATAAAGATGCATTATGTTACTTAGACTAAAGCTAAATTTGCTAAATGCAGATCGTTACATTTATTCACTTGCCAAGTCCATGGCATTATCAACTCCCTAGTCCCTAGACCCATCAGCCATGACCCCTGTCGATAATAATACAGCGCCACATCACAGTTGATATCTTGATAACATTACAAATTAGGTGAAAATAAAAATAAGTTGGACTTTTAACGCCTTATGGCCACTCTTCAAGTAATGGCATACCATACCATGGCATATTACTTATGAAGACCTACTCAGAAAAAAATGCCAACATTTGAACATTGTTTTTTTGTTACCAGGCCTAGGCTAGACATCGAAACATCAAAAATAAAGTTTGTTCCATGAGTTCTGCCCGAAAAGCCGACAGATTTACAATTCGGATTGGACTACAAGTTTGGTAGTTGCAACTAAGTAATTTTTATTACACGAAATCGCTTAAATGGAAATCACATTTTGACTTGAGCCATTTGACGGACATTGATTTTGAACACAAAAACACTACGAGTACGAATCTAAAATGAAAAATGTAATTTGGCAAAATGAAATGAAATGGGGTTTAACGTCCTACTGTTCTTCTTAGACTGGGCTAATGAAGATGGGCATACGCCATACATTGTGCAATGAGGGAAATTTTCCCCGAGCAGCGGCACTATGCCTACTTAATTAGGCTACGGTATAATATCGAATTCCAACTACCAAGGGTTCCTTTACGTGCACGCCAATGTATAGACAGGACCTAGGTTTTTCGTCCCATCCGAACGACTAGACAGTTGTCCTTGTCAGGCCCTCCGTCCAGCACCACTGACAAGGGGAAACCACGTCGGAAAATCTAGATGAACTTTCTCGTTCAATGACTTGTTTAATCGAATTAAACATCTTGCCCGACTTGTCAAAACGGTATCGCCATTTCGCTGATGTTCAGAAAGTGACCTTCACCGATTATGTCAAGGCGTGGTTATGCTTCTTAATTCCGGCCTACAAATACGTTAGAATTTCTGCTCAGCTAGCTATTGGTAGCTCCTCCCCATTTTGGTATTTCGCTAGGCGAGATATAGATAGCATCAACCTTTACTTGATGGTTGTGTGAACACCTCTATTGTAAATCATAATTATTATAAGAAAATCAGATTAACGTGTCGCAGTTGTCGGTTCGGGTAAAATATAGTTTGTATACATCAAAATTGGATAGGTTTATTGTAACAACCTTAAATTCTTTATCGGTCTTTGTTTACAAATTAGGACGTTAAACTCTATTTCATTTTGATTTTATTTTCATTTCGTTTGTTTACAAATTAAAATAGTGGCCAAGGCCAGCTTTTAGAAGAGGCCCTGTAAGTAATATCACGAGATATAATTTCGTTTTGTCGCGTCATATGGAAATGAGTTACTCGTGTCTGATTAAGACGGCCGTTTTAATCGCGACTATATCTGTCTCCGTTTTGAGGGTGCCTTCGGGCGTTTTATTGCACAAAATGTTCCCCACTGATCCGCAGTGAATATTCGCTTGGCCGCTACAATCACTGACAAGGATGACATCGATGCGACTTAATGACTACAAAATATTAACTTTTTTCTTTCGACAAATTAAATTCTGAAACATTTTTTTTTAGTATTAGAAAAATAAATAAAGGTGTTTGAAGTATATCTTGATAAAAAATATTACATAATTAGCGTAAATAGGTACAGAAAATAGTACGCGGAGGCGTAAAATGGGTAAAACGATATAATTCTGCCCGTACCAGTTCATATTACTACGTTCGATGTAAACAACGCACGTGTGACCATCAATTTGACGTTTTTTTCTGTTTGTTTACTCTGAATTCTTTCAGACGTACATTTTTTACCGTCTAATCTGATTGACCTGCTCGTGTTTGTTTACAAGCCACAGAAGTAATCTTTTTTGGCGTTATCGATGCCATCTTGCTTTGTTGGTAAACATTGAGATGTGACGTCACTCTTAGAACTACAGCGGTCTGACCTTTTAAAGGTCAGTCATCTTGGACAGAGATAAAAGACGGATGTCGCATTAGGTCTGTAAAACAGATTGAAAATGCTCATGTATACACAAATAAATGAACCATTCGGTATTACCAAGAAGCTTCGTAGACCTTTCTTTTCCATAGTAATACTTTTATTCTCCCTTTCCATAGTAATACTTTTCTCGTTATTTTTTTTTTTTTAAAAAAAACCACAAAAAAACGTGTGTGAGTTTGTGCGAACAAAGCACAGACAATCAATTTCTTATCCATAGCTGTACTGTATTATGTATGGTTGGTGTACCTAAAAAGTAAGCATGTAAATGTTCCTGAAGCAACGACCCCGAGTTTTCCAACATCCCCTTCTAACATGGATGAGTTAAAGCGATATCAAGCCTTCTATATGAATATGAAAAGTATGATGCTAAACCCTATTTCATTCCGGCCCGGGGGGTTGGATGGCCGAATGGTTAGCACGTGCGCGCTGTATCATACGGTCTGTCATTGAGTCAACTGACGGGGTTTCGATTCCCCGGTTGTACGTGACAAGGATTAGGGTCGCCTGTCCAACCTCGTGGGTTTTCTCCGGGTACTCCGGTTTCCTCCCACTGCTAAAGATCGCTACGCGCAAGCGAATTATTGAAATAAAAAAATAAACCATATGTTAGTCCCGAAATGACCTAGTTTTTGTCGAGTGGATGTTAAACCCCATTTCTCTCTCTCTCTCTCATTCCGGCCCTGGCAACTTACAAGGGCAGTTATCTAGCCTACCAGGGCTGGGGTAATGGTAATGGGTAATGGTAATGGAATGTAATCATTACATTTTTTAAGTAATGGCCATGTAATGAGTAATGGAAGATTTCAAAAGTAATGAGTAATGGAAATGTAATTAATTACATTCCAAAAATCATGTAATGGTCAATTACATTTCAATTACTTTTCAATTACATTTTATGACAAATATAAATATTTCCAATATGACAAGCCTCAAATTTTATAGCACCAAAGAAGTAATTAAGTGTATCTGACACAAATCTAATTCATTATAATTCTAAAAAAGGAGAATTAAATCAGTTTTAAAAAATTATAAGAAAAATAAGTAGGCATTAAACATTTTCTTTTATTACTTTTTATGTAGGAACCTTTTTTAGACATGTAACCTAAGAAGTGGATTTCTGATAAGATATATATTATAATCAAAGATTAGTACTAATTTGCAGCCAATCACTCAATCAATCAATCAATCAATCAGTCAGTTAGATTAAAAGACAATAAATAGTGACAAACCAAACAATGACCTTCAAGTATCTCATCATTTTATGGTTACTTAAAACTAATATATATTTTGTTTTAGAGTCATGCTGAATAATTTACCATTTATTATAAAATATATTATAGAAAAACTATTTGGACTGATTAAAATTTTTAAAAAATTACTTAAAAGAAAATACAGTTAATTAACTATAGTTTTGATTCATTTTTCAAGTCATACAGTGAAAATGTCAGTTTTTGTCACCACTGCCCGTCACTATAAAATTTGCCTTGATGTTATAATTGCTAGAAATAATAATTCATAAACAAATATCTATTAAGTGAATCAAGGATTAATTTGAGTTTGATTTTGTAGGTACATCATGGCAGAAAAATAATGTTGTCTTTTTAATTTTTATGAAAATGTTTTTTTATTTATATAGTCATAAAGTAATGGGTAATGGTAATTAATTACTTTCAATGTAATGGGTAATGGTAATTAATTACATTGCTAAAAATGAGAAAGTAATTGTAATGATTACATTTAAAAAGTAATGGTAATGGTAATGTAATTAATAAGCTAAGCCTGCTATCGGATGGGACGAAGAACCGAGGTCCCGTTGCACATTGGCGTGCTCGTAAAAGATCTCTTGGCAGTTTAAATTTGATGTAAGAGTAGGCCTTAGCACCGCTTCCCGGGCAAAATTTCCCTCATAGTCATAGCACAATGTATGGCATATGTTCGTTTTCATTATCCCAGTCGGAGCAGAACAGTAGAACGTTGAACCCCATTTTATTTCATTTCGATAGTGAAGGTAAAGACGGTGCAACTGGGTGTTTAAACGCCCGAATATTGCCGACCGAACAATATTATTAGTAGTTGCGATAATCCAGTCCTTTAGATGTTGGCTTTGAAGTCTGGCCATAGAACTGTACTGATACGATCCCAATCTATTTCACAGAGTATTACCAATGTCTTCTAATAGTAACTCTGAAAAAAAAGATGACTGTCTTCAACACATGGCGTCATATCACGCGGCGTCAATCATTGGCTCAGTGGCACGTGCATTGTTTACATATAAGACGTTACTGATTCGAGCAGAATGGCGCCTTTTACTCATTTTAATACCCATTTAAACTAAAATAGGGAATAATTTTTACCTGCAAATACTTCAAACGTCTTTATTTATTTTTCTAATACATAAAAATAATGTTTTAGAATTGAATTTGTCGGAGGAAAAAAGTTAATACGTCATCCTTATCAGTGATTGTCGCAGCCTAGCGAATATTCACTGCGGATCAGTGTGATACGATCCATGGTCTGGCTTATAGAGGCTACTTTTATGAATCACTCGGGTTGTCAGTATACAGTTTTAACTAAGGTTATGAAAATTGAAAGCTATCGTATCATCAGAGTGGAGCCGTTTGACGCATATCTTGAAGTTATCTTGTAGAGCTGTGTAACACTGTCATCGAAGGTTTTCATAATAATAATTATTGTTCATAATCATTCAATCATTATATATGTAGAAACGTTAGGTGTTTACTTTCTTCTTCTTGAAGTTCTAGTTCTACTTCTAAGTTCGACTAGTTCTATCTGACTTTACTGACAGGGACAAAGGTTTATTGACATTCGACAGAATAGATCTACTAGGCCTGGATAGGTTCAATATATGTCAATCACCCATAAATGCAATCAATGAATCGCTCTATGTTTTGCATTTGCCACTGATTTTATCACGGTTTTCATTCACCAAAGATGACGTTGAACTGATTTTGTAAACGAGGATTTTTTTTTTTAACAGACCCGATCATCGTTTGAAACGTTCAGATTGTAAATGTAGCCTATCCATTGACGTAGTAATTACTAATATACATTATTCATTTGATTGCATTATGGTTAACTTAAAGTGTTTGATCATTACTTATTTTGAGGGATGTTAAAGTACCGTAGCTAATTAGTCTCTCAATATCATCAAAAATCTTCCACATTGAATTATTGAAAACATAAGTTATGTGTCAATTCAAATCAACATTGGTCTTGTGATCTTACAGGGAAAAGATATCAAATATTCAAGACAAAATAAACATTTTACCATTGCCATTTGGAACAAGGGACTCGTGCAAAGAACAGCGCTAGACATATTCCACAAGTCATGTCAAATGGTGACGCTATATTCTTATCTGGAGAGCATGCGCAATAAATACTACATCGGTGTAGACTGGAAAAACCAGACGCTAAAGATTGTCATTCACATGAGACTTCTGGCGTATTTCGCCGAACATAATTTAATTTGAGGGATATTTTGACCCCTAACATTGTAACAAAAGAAATATCTGTTCAAAAATGGTTGAATTCTGTTCAGTATTCAGCATCCATCACTGCCAGTGATATATAAATGGGATATGTTCAAAAGTCAGCGACACCTATAATTACAGCGAAAATCTTTGATTAGCCTCTTTTTAATCCGATTGAAATTAAGCTGTGAGATTAGATTATTTATCATTGATATTTGTTAATTAAATGTTACCAATTTGAATACGATACATTTTAGTGTGGATAAGCTGTGAAAATAATAAAGTTATTTTAAGCTATGTAATAGTGAAAAATGTGAAGCGGTACCCTAGCTGTAACTACTGTTAGTCATTTGATCAACCATCGGCACCTTAATTATTTTATTAAGTTTACAGTACCAGTATAGCAGAACAATTTCACAATCGTGTGGCAGTGGTTTTCAATGCCCACGGGCCCCACACAAGGGTAGTCTTAATTTCAGACTATTTTACTACATTTTATTAAATTGCCTAATAAATTAAGAAAAAAGCCTTCAACTGAAACATATTTAATAATTGTAGCTATTAAGTATGATTTTAATGTAGGCGCTTTGACTTATGTTTGAGCAGATAGATAAATGTGAAAACATTGTAGGGGACCACAGAGCACTAAAGGAAATTTCTTTGGCAAATCAGTGTTTGCGAAAAATGAACAATCATACATGGCCTCTCAAGAATTAAGGAAATTTATTCTGATGAGCATGTCTAAGAGAAAAACTGATTAAATTAGTAGATTTTCATGAGGAAAGTAGTATTTATTTACTATTGCTGCCTGGTTAATCATATTCAAGCCCAATCTAAGGTGCCAATGAGCTGAAGTACTCTGCCGTGATATATTTTGACAAGATATCAATTACTTACAGGGTACATAAATGACATGTTGCATTTATCCTTGCTGTGTAAGATGTCCTTTGATCTGTGCACATTTTATTTTGTACTTTGTAATAAGCGTTATCATACATTAGTTGATGAATTATTAATTTCAAATTTTAAATACTTGGTCAGATTGTTAATAGGATTTTGCTGGGGCACAAGGAATCATTGTCCATGAAGTTTTAAAAATTTGGTGGTTTATGACTTGCTACTTGTGACTTAAAGGCTCGATGCATCATTTGCGTTGTTGGTAAAATATCAAATTTCTCACGGCTTATTATGTACGCAGATTGATTATTTAACATTTAATTTAGAAAAAGAAATCAAAATACTAAAGCTAGATTATTTCACAACTTGGATTCACTCAGATTTGAACAGGCCTATCAATTAGATTTTGCAAAACAATAAAGATGGCTTTAGACTTGTTATATCGTGTTGTCATCCATCAATAAAAAGACTTGTAACTTGTGATTGCCAAATGTTGGAAATGTAGGCAGGTGTTATTGACAGATTGCAGTTTGCAATTGATTCCTATGTTACTGAAATAACGTTCAGAGGGTTTAATGTATTTAATGGATGATTATATTACATTTTAATTATGCATATTCCCATTATACAAAATATTCTAAGAACTTTTCTAGAAATTTCCAATTCATTGTGATATTTTCAGATTTCTATGTTAAAGAAATGAGCTTACGTCAAGCATTAAGGTCACGTTTCAAAGGTGATAAGCCAGATTCTCCAACTTCTAGCAGAAAGTCAAAAGATTCAAAAACTCTTCCACTTCCTGTAGTTGTTAAAGAAGAGGATGAAGTAAGCTTATATTTTTTCAATTAGTATTGACCTGATTTTCTGAAAACAAGAAATTATTAATATTTTGTTTTTTGCTTGTTTGATTCAGATTTCAGATTATTTGTCATTACACTTAGTCAGTATTCATGGTATAAAAAACATCTGTATAATTATGGTAATTGCACCAAAGAAATATGTATTATATAAAAACTTCTGTTGTTTCACCATATGGGGCTGTTATACAATTAATGCCAATCTGGATAGACTATGCTTACAATGTACCAGTTCTGATGCTATACTTGGAACAAAGTATAATATTAAAAATCAATATGTCTCACTGTATTGTAAGAACAAGATTATATTTATTTTACACGCACTTAGTGTATTTTGATTACCAAGTGTTTTTTTTTTAAAAATAGATTGGGTAAAACTGAGTTGATGGTAATAAGGGGTTAAAAAAAGATGAGTCTTTAACCAATTCTTAAAACAGTTGATACCATGAATAGGCAGTCAAGAATAAATCTCTCAATTTGGCTCATGTTTACCACTTTCAAAAGTGTAGAAAATGGAGGAATAACAGTACATCCATTTTCACAACAAATACTTATGAACCATTTTTTTTCATATTAAAGAAACAAAATGATTTTCTTGCCTCGATCTCTCAGCCTATATTGTGTCGGCTTCAACTAAAACGAATAAAATAGTGTCATAATTGTTTACAAGGAAATTCTTACGATTGGCTGAGATGAAAAATGAAATGCACTTTGTATTAGATGTACATGTAGGCAGGAGACATTGTCGACTGGTGGACTTCAACAAAAGTTTTCATTGCATGAACTCTATACACAAAGTCAAAACAGCCAGTTAACATATAGTTGACAAATAATGCTTTTTTTTCAATACTAATTTTCATTTGAATGGAATCACTTTTGGGTGGAGTTTTCAAGACTGATGATTTTCATAATTGGTTAAGCCTCAATATATATATTGAAATTAAAATATACCTGGCAATTCTTGCTACATACTGCCCTATGATTATGATTAATTGATATGACAATACATGCCTTATGGATAAAATCAATTTAAAGACATAGGTTTCTAATTCTATGTATGTACATGGAAACTGCTCAATGTAAATTTTTGTTAATTTCAGCACCCTCTCCTTTAAAAATTTACAAATATCTGATCTTAATTTAAACTGTTGCCCCTAAGGACAGGTCCCCAGAACCCCATTTTGGTTTGGTAGTATTTGCTACCTTGACAGCGCCCGAAATATGATTTTTGTTCTGACAGGCATGTCTACCATATATAGTATACCTTTTTGAAATGCGTACCACTTTTGCATATTCACATCGTTTTCATCAACTATCTCAAATGCAGCACTGTTGGTAGCAATGTTGCCCCTGAAAGAATGCTGAAATATGTTTATTTAAAAAAAGCACTCTGAACTGAGGTCCCACTCTAAATAGAAGAACTTTCCAGAATTCATCTTTTATATCTGTGAATTATACTTTGTTTTTAGACAGATTATAAAGATGATGATTGTCATTCATTCCAATCAGCGAGTTCTCTCAGTCCCTGTTTTCCGAGCACACCTGATGGGGAATTTAAAGATCTGCAAGAAAAAGGCATATTCGAACAACAGTTAACACAATTACAAGAACAACTTGTAGCAGCCATGATAGAAAATCAATCTCTTCGTAAGTTCTTTCTATGTTTTACAATCAGTGTCTAGAAGTCTACAGTGTCAGATAACTCTATTTCCTAGAGCTCCACATTTTAAATATACATGATGAGCTGGCCATTTTTGTTTTAATAGTTTAAAAATAGATAATGAAAAATAAAGTTATGAGAGAAGTTATGAATATTTGAAGTTTTGACAAGAACTAACCTAAATATTCTAGATAGTCAAATAACATTTATTGCCAAAATAATAAACAAAGTCTCGATTTTCGGTTTTCAATTGTCAAGCGTTATGAGTGGTGTCCTTTTATTAACGTTTAACGAAGATATGGCAGACATTGTATAATCCACTGACTAACTTAGTCATCCAATGGTTTAGAGAGGTGATTATGGGCTTGTTATTTGAATAAATGTATAAATAATCATTTATATAACATTTGACGCGAGTAAAATACTTTTTATACGCCCACATTTTCATGTGGACGTATTATGCCGTCGCCCCTGTCTGTCCGTTTGGACGTCCGTCCGTCTGTCCGTCCACAATTGTTTGTGGACTCTCTACAGGTCACAATTCTTATCCGATTTTGACGAAACTTGAAATATAGGTTCATCCCCAAAAGATCTCGGCTGCTTTCGATATTGGCATGTATTGGATCGAAACTTCATGGATTATGGCCCCTGATTGTACGAAAAGGTACGTTTTTAGCTTGTGGACCCTATAGAGGTCACAATTGTTATCCGATTTATTTGAAACTTGAAATGTAAGTTTATAACACAAAGATCTTGGTTCCTTTCGATATTCGCGCATATCGGACCGTAACTTTCTGAATTATGGCCCCTGATTGTACGAAAAATCGCGTTTTTAGCTTGTGGACCCTATAGAGGTCATAATTTTTATCCGATTTAAAAAAACGTATTATTATATCACCGTTGAACCCTAAGGACGACTGAGTTCGAATTTCGTGGAAATCGGCCCAAAACTGACAGATAAAATGGCCGCCCTTCGTTCTCAAATAGCGTAAAAATAGGGTATATCAAAGTTGTGGACCCTATAGAAGTCACAATTTTTATCCGATTTTGTTGAAACTTGAAATGTAAGTTTATAACACAAAGATCTTAGTTCCTTTCGATATTTGCGCATATCGAATTGTAATTTCCTGAATTATGGCCCTTGATTGTAGGAAAAATCACTTTCTTCTTAGCTTGTTCTCTATCCATCTCTCGAAAATGTGGGCGTATGCTGCCTGGCAGCCGCTGGTTATTTATGTAAAACCTAATTTTTTTGTGCGTTTTGCTACACTTGACAATATAAATCTGTTTGTAACCTCTTACTACATTGTATAACCAGGGTCGACACCATGGCAGATTATCCTGTAGTCTAGAGCCCCATTCTTTTAAGAGGCATTGTGATCTGTGAATAAAATAAAAGCTGTGTGGTTTTTGCTGCACTCGACAATACATCCAGCCTTTATCAAAAGATATAAAATCATTAAAAACCTAGCTATCTAGAGACCAAAGATAATATTATTTATGGATATGACACAACATACATGTTACAATGGATAGATGTTATTACTATGTATGGTATTGATTTTATCACATTATAACCTCATATATGAATATTGGAATAATTCCAAACGTTCAATACTGCATCTAGACATGCAACACATGGCTTTGTATTTGTTTTAGATTAAAGGCCCTTCTTAGAGTTTTAAGTATACAACTTCAAAATTACACGTCTTAAGATGCATTTTGCAAGAGCTAAATCTGTCTATTGCGGATCTTTTTTCGAGCTCTAAATGTTATATCAGTTATTATGTAGACATTTCTTCTTATGACAAGCCCATAATAATCTCTCCAGATTGTTGGATGGTTGAGATGTTGAATGGATTAGAACACCTGCATCATTTAATAATTAACATTAAAATGAATAATCAAGACAATTTTTATACGCCCACATTGAAATGTGGTCGTATATTATTGTCGCGAAAGTTTATATCCGATTGACTTTAAATTTATACACAGTGTTTAAGGTCATGAGACGAAGAAGCATATTGATTTTCAGCGATTTTCGATAATTACTGCCAAAGTTATGGCCCTTGATCACTTTGAAAAATCTTGTGGACGCTCTAGAGGCTAAAGATAATATCAGATTGACTTTAAATTGATGCACAGTGTTTAAGGTCTTGAGACGAACAAGTATATTGATTTTCAATGAATCTTTATGACTTGAACAGCTAAATCCATAATGTTAAAAGTTTCGTATACTAAACGTTAGGATGGGGCAGAACATTGTTTATGGCCTTGATCACTTTGAAAAATATTGTGGACGCTCTAGAGGCTAAAGTTAATATCAGATTGACTTTAAATTGATACACAGTGTTCAAGGTCATGAGATGAAGAATCCTATGGATTATCAGCGATTTCCGATAATTACTGCAAGAGTTATGGCACTTGATCACTTTGAAAAATCTTGTGGACGCTCTAGAGGCAAAAGTTAATATCCGATTGACTTTAAAACGATACACAGTGTTTACGGTTATGAGACGATCAAGTATATTGATTTTCAATGAATCTTTATGACTTGAACGGGTAAATCCATAATGTTAAAAGTTTCATATACTAAACGTTAGCATGGGGCAAAACTTTATAAAAACCAAACAAATTCTAATGGTTTTCTGATAATTACTTAAAGAGTTGTTACTCTTAATCAGATTTTAATGTATTATGAATGTTTCATTACCAAAAAAAGTAAAAATATGCGACAACTCTTGTTGACTGCCCGGACGATATAGCTGCTGTGGGCGTTTGTTTCGTTGCCTGGCATCCTATCTTTAAACTATCATATCAAGATCGACTCACTGTAAATCTTTCATAATGCATCTTTAATGTAATTAATACTTTCTAATAACATCATTTAAATTAATCCATATATGTTATTGATTTTGTGCTACACAATGATATAATAAAGATAAAAATATGTTACTCTATTATTGTAGTCTATTTTATTACACCAATTATATTAAATTTCAAGAATATAATATATCCTGTTTTAAACAAAATGATGTCGTGCTACAGTATATTATAAAAATAGACTACTTAGGATTGCTCTATTGTTCAGAGATTTTAAAATTTTTTTCAAACTTGCTGTGACTGTGAACCCTATTTTAAGTCATTGTGTTTCATTGGTTTTGTCATTAAAACCTTTTAATCATTCAACAAGTCAGAGATTTTAGTATTATTTTTGTAGTTAGTGCCCTTTTCAGAAAAACATTGTATTCAGAATACTTTTCAAACAGTAAATTGCTCAAAACCTTGTTAAACCGCTCAGACGTTTAAGCTGCTGGTAGACTGGGTATATATTTTGTTGTTGGACAATCAAGTTGTCATTTTTGTACACTAGCTAACAATACTGTTAAAATACTCTCTTAGTCAATGTCAGGCGAAAATTACTATTTAGAATGGATATCACTGAAACAGGTCCAAAGGGTTGATATTACCAGTATATATTTTGTTCCAGTTTTTATATGCCCACATTGAAATGTGGTCGTATATTGTCGTCGCCCCCGTCCGTCCGTCCAGCATCCACAATTGCTTGTGGACGCTCTAGAGGCTAAAGTTAATATCTGATTGACTTTAAATTTATACACAGTGTTTATGTTCTTGAGACCAAGAAGCCTATTGATTTTCAGCAATTTCCGATAATTACTGCCAAAGTTATGGCCCTTGATCACTTTGAAAACTCTTGTGGACGCTCTAGAGGCCAAAGTTAATATCCAATTGACCTTAAATTAATACACAGTGTTTAAGGTCATGAGACAAAGAAGCCTATTGATTTTCAGCGATTTCCGATAATTACTGCCAGAGTTATTGCCCTTGATCACTTCAAGAAATCTTGTGGATACTGTAAAGGCCAAAGTTAATATCCAATTGACTTTAAATTTAAACGCAGTGTTTAAGGTCTTGAGACGAAGAATCCTATTGATTATCAGCGATTTCCGATAATTACTGCCAGAGTTATGGCCCTTGATCACTTTGTGACGCTTTAAAGGCTAAAGTTATCATCCGATTGACTTCAAATTGATACACAGAGTTTAAGATCTTGAGACGAACAAGTATATTGATTTTCAATGAATTTTATGACTTGAACAGCTAAGTCCATGATATTAAAAGTTTTGTACACAAACTGTTAGCATGGGGCAGAACTTTATAAAAACCAAACAAATTCTAATGGTTTTCTGATAATTACTTCATGAGTTGTTACTCTTAATCAGATTTTAATGTATTATGAATGTTTCATTACCAAAAAAAGTAAAAATATGCGACAACTCTTGTTGACTGCCCGGACGATATAGCTGCTGTGGGCGTTTGTTTCGTTGTCTGGCATCCTATCTTTTATGATTTTAAGATTTTATAACTATCAGTAATGTGGCATTTGATAATGAGAATTTATAATGTCAAATCATAGAAATGGCAATCCAATCAGTGTCGGGATAACTATTGCAATGGTTATAGTTGTTGACCTGCTCAAATTTATATACAGTATGGTTTCAGTACTTCTGAAAATTGATTCTCACAAGTTATAAACACAAACCTGCTTGACAGAACTACACTACATGTATCCGTGGACTAACTAATGGACAGACCTGGGGTCAATTACTATCAAATTGAATAAATTACTGTTACTTATATGTTTTAATGATTCAATTATAGTAACATAATATAATCAATTAAATTACAATGACTGCCATGGTTTAATGATTCAATTATAATAACATATTGTATAATTAAATTACAATTACTTTGATAATTGTACTCGATTAAATTTTATGATTACTTGATTAGTTTGCACACATTTCCCTCAGGTAAGACCAGTCTCAATATGAATTCTTCTATGAATTAAAAATTTGTTATCAGTTACAACTGATTACAGATTAGGATAGCCCCAGGTCTGCTAATGGGAGATGTAGTTATTTTACAACTGTTAGTAGTATTGCTCTGTTAATAAGAAATCATATTTAATGGTAAGTTATCCAGACTACATTTTTTTTTAAAAAAAAAGCAGAAAATTGTATAGTATTTAGGTGAAAATGATCTTGTCTGTTCGCGAAACAAATATTTATATATATATATATATATATGTTGAGTGGTAATTTGTGTGTGACAATGTCTGTTACAGCTGCCTAATTATGTTCTTGCTTATTTTGTGAGATAATTTGTATTTGATAAAGTCGGTGACAGGTGCCTTATGTCCAGGCTTGGGTGTATGTCTTGTTTACGCTTGTGAAATGTGGTATTCATCAATGGAATTTATTTGCAGGAAACGAATTAGAAATTATCAACAAAAAACAGTCTGTATTTGAACAAATTAAGCATCAGTTGGAATCTGAGAAAAAAAAGAACAATTTATTAGAAGCAAAGATCAAAGATTTAGATCATAAAAAGTAAGTAATTTCATATTTTTCAGAGAAAAATTAGGTTATGACTGTGAATCCACCATTCTTGTACACTTGCTTTGGTCATAACATTTATACAAAGATAAGATAATTTTAAAATATATTAAAGTAGCTAAGTCTCTAACTAAATATCATCCAAAGTCTTACACGTTGAAAACACAAATTATTTGTCAATTCAAATCAACATAGATGTTGTGATCTTACCGGGAAAAGGTAGGCTTCTGATATCCAATATTTAAGACAAAATAAACATTTTACCATTGGTACACGAATCGTGTACCATAGTGCGTTTCAGAGTCATTTGTAACAAGGGACCAAAAAGAACGAGGCTAGACATATTCCACAACTCATGTCAAACGGTGACGCCATGGTAGCATGCGCAATAGACTGGAATAGCCAGATGCTAGGAATTGACATTCGGGTGAGACTCATGCCGTATTTCGCTGATTTGAAGATAGAGTCAAAACGGAAACAATTGAATGTAAATCAGTTTATATACAATTAGATTACATTATTATATGTGTTGCAACCCATTTGTGTCAATTTCTAGATCTCAAATATTAGTAATTTAGCTCCGTTTAAATATAGTGTAATAGTGCCTATCCTAACCTTGTGGGTGTTCTCTAGAATGTCCTGTTTTGTTTCCACTGCTAAAAATGCCTGCTTGAAAATGAATTATCGGAATAAAATTATACTATATGATACTCGCGAAATGACCTAGTTTGTGTTTGGTGACGGCTAAACTCCATTGCTCTCTCTTGTACTCTCACATATTGCCAACTGATTATTTGATGGTTGTCATGCGAGGAGGTAAGGGAAGTAACTATATTGACATTTTGAGATTTTTAGCTGATTAACTATTTAGTTATGAAGCAAAATAGTTACTAGAACTGGTACATGATATTTAATTAAACTATTAACAATATATTTTAAAGGTCATTACATGGTATTAGTAAATCAAAGAAAAAGAATACTGATGGTGCTGGTAAGTCAAATCTATCTGTGGAACCAGCCATAGATATAGCATCCGATTTACAAGAAGAAGATGTTGTTTCCATTCCAGGTTTGGACTTATATACGTATAGATGGGGATCTGCGATACAAAAAGTTTCTAATTGTTAAGCAAAAAAATGAGTTAATCTACCTTTATCTTTTGTATAAAGACATTTTTGTCACAAGAATGTGGTAAGATAAATACCTCGATTCCAAACTGAAAGAAGGCAACATTAAAACTTTTTTCTTTCAAATGAGGTATTATGACATAAATGTGTATTAATTTGAAAACCCATTTCATATAAAATATAGCAATCTTATGTACTTTCACTTTTATTTTTGTTTTTATGTCATTATGGTGGTTAGTTATCGTCACAATAAGTTATCGTTACTCACATAATTGAAGAATTTCAAATAATTTACATAACCGTGTTAATCTGGAAATTGCCCTTTAATCTTCTCTTAGGTGTTGATCTGAATGTTAAATGCTTTTCAGATGGTGAGTTTGAAAAACCTGCTGTCAAATCTCCCAAATCATTTAAAATGAGATTATATGAAGGTATACTGAAGAAAGTATATGAGGTTATAGATGATTTTACAGAAGAGATGGATTATGTACATGTGGAAAATACAGAAGCTGATCCTTTAACAGGAAAAAAGTAGGTAGCAGTTAAAGGAAAGTTCAACCATTGCAAACTCTTTAATTTTTATTTATTATCTAATATGGAATTATTTTCCATAATTCAAAGCCGAAACACAAATTGTTTCATCTTATTATTAACAGATTAACCGGCCAGTTCTGATGTTATGAGGGTAACTGTCTTCAGCTTTTAATAACCCAAAACAATGCATGTTGTTTAACAAACATGAAACCAACAACTATCTTAGTACTCAACTAGCATACACTTGATTTTGTTTATAAACAATGACCACATTTGGTGTCTTAAAGACAAAATGATTTGTACTTGCATTGTGAAAAATATTTTAATATTAGATAATGGATATAATGGATAAAATCTGCAACAGCTGAACCTTTCCTTTAACATATTATACAAGCTTAAAAAAAAGAATTGTTAATTTATTACATAATGTAAATAAATATGTTAATACATGGGGGCGGACACCTGGTGATTTGTGTGAACAACAAAACTTGTGTTTCCTGTTTGTAAAACTGTGCTTAGGCTACACAAAATAAATGTCTTGTTTCTCGGGCAACTGACAGCTGAAACTGTAGGGGGGGAGGGCGTTTTTTTTGTTTTTTTTTACCTCATTTCTGGCTAGAGGGTGGTGCAAAATATAATTTGGCTATTGTTGAAAATTGTTGGGGCGGGAGGGCGGCCTTGTATTTTTTTTTTTTTTTTTTTTTAATGAAAAAGTCATTACTTGTCTACGGTTTTGCTTTCAGTTATATATTATACATACTTAGAACATAAACCCAAAAATCAAGTCTACTCAAACACTGAACACTGACTGAAAGGAAAATAATTTTCCATATTTAATTCACGTAATGTAGCTTACTAATGGTAATGGTGACAACCATAATTGAAATTGGTTTAAAATAAAATTCCGTACGACTATTAATAGCCGTCCATAATAACGACAAGAGTAAGCCTCTGTCAGCATGTGTATCAAAAGTAATCATCACGGTAAACGACACTTAGATCTAAATCTAGTATCGCTGGTTTATAATGATTGACCTAATTCCAACCAATGCATGTCATCGGGATTCGGGAAATGACTGTTTCTCAGGATATTCGTTGTGTTTCTCAGGATATTCGGTGTTCTATCTGGGGTTTATATCGAATGACTATTTAAATTTAACTAACAACTGGTCAGTAAAACCATCAAATGTGTAATCCAATTATTATTTTCCGGATTATCAAAACTACCGTTAAATGTGCTAATGACCCAGATTCTGACTAAGGTATGGTGACTATCATCGTATCGTATTCGTAGCCACAAGTTATAATAATTAACCTGTTCTACGATTCATTGTTTTATAAGTAGGATTTTTTCAAACATGGACCGACTGAAGCCGGCAATAATTAAAATCATGTGATACAAAAATGGAGGTTCTTTCGATATCAATAAAAAAGACCCGTAAATGAGCGTTTACATCTGAATCAGTTTAATACATTTGAATGGATATTCACGTATGGGGCATGTAGATACATGCGGCATATTCTTTTTATGACTTGCTTATAGATGTTCGGGCGGGCGTTACATATTTTTTATTTTTCATCAAGACTAATAAATAGGCCCCACACTTAACCAATTTTGCGTGCGGGCGGTGCCCGAGAAACAACTTATTTTATTTGTGTTGCCTTAGTTTCAGGATTATTTCTGACTTGATCCAAACATTTTATATTCATTACAGATACGGTTCCTGGAAACCTATTTTTTTTCTTTGTAGATATGTTTACATCTATTTTATTGTTATTATTTTACTTCAGACTCAAAGAGAATATTAAAAGATTTGGTATGTTATTTTGCTGATGTTATTGTGCTTATTTTGATTTCCCTTTGAGAATTTCATAACAATCAACTAACCAAAGCAGCACTTCTGTCTCTTACTATGTGAATCCTAGAATTTTTATACACTCACTTTGCAATGTGGTAGTATATTGCCATCACCCCTGTCCGTCCATTGGTTTATTATCAACCATTCCTTGTGAACACACAAGAGACTATGTCCAATCTGTAAGACAGTTTATGCCTTGTTTATTGAGATAAGGAAGCCCTTTGAATTTCAACAATTTCTGTTAATTACTACTAGAAATATTGCACTTGCTTACATTGTAAAAATTCTTGTGAATGATGTAGCAGCAATTTAATAGTCATTATCTAATCTACTTGAAATATATTCTTTGTTTTGGTTTTTGTGAGGAATAAAATTACAATAGTTTCTGATAATTACTACTAGGGTTATGTACCTTGATTATGTTGTACTTCAGTGATAAAGACTCTTTTTATTTACCTTTTTATCTACTGCTTGGACAACTTGGATGCAGTGAGTGTATTTTCCATTACCTGGCAACCTATCTTTTAACATTAACACCTCGATGTGTCTGATTTTGATATGCTCTATGTCATTCACATGTGTAGCAAACTGTGCTAGAATAATTAAGTTGCAAATTAGCAGGAACCTCCTGCGACCCTATTCATAAAAACGTTTTAAGAATGCTGATGGTCCATTGGCTAAGGAATAAAATCATAGCACAAATTTTAGCTCTTGGCAAATGAAAAGGCTGCATTCTTAAAATAATTTATTCTTTTTAAGTTTTCTTGTATAAAACACCTGATGTCTTATGACATCTTGTTCATGAGATGAGGAATCCTATAGATTTTCTATCATTTCTGATAATTACTGCCAGAGTTGTGGCCCTTGATGACTTTGAAAAATCTTGTAGACTCTCCAGAGGCTAAAGTTATTTTCTGATTGACTTCAAATCCATACATATTGGTTAATGTTATAAGACGATGAATCCTATTTATTTTTTGCAATTGCCGATAATTACTGACAAGAGTTATGCCCCTTAATCACTGGACACTGAGAAGGTTAAATTTATCTTTCGATTGACTTCAGATTTATACATATTGGTGAAGGTCATGAGATGATGAAGCCTATTGATTTTTAACAATTTCCAATAATTACTGCCCCTGAATCACTTTGAAAAATCTTGTTGATGCTCTAGAAGCTAAAATTAATGTCTTATTTACTTCAAATTCATATGCATTGGTTAAGGTTAAGAGATGAAGAAGCCTATTGATTTTCAAAGATTTCCAATAATTACTGCCAGAGTGGTGGCCCTTGACTTCTTTGAAAAATCTTTTGGTCGCTCTTAAGACCAAATTTATAATTTGATTGACTTTAAATTTATTTACACTGTTTAAGGTCTTGAACAACAAAGCCTATTGATTTCCAATGGTTTCTAAAAAAATATTGCCAGCGATATGGTACTTGATTTTCAATGATTTCTGATAAATAGAACAGCTAAATTCATGATATTACATGTTTTGTATACTAAACGTTAGCGTGGGGCATAATTAGAAGCCAAACAAATTCTAATGATTTCTGATAATTACTTAGTTTGTTGTAAATGTTTTCATTACTGACAAAAGAAAAAATATGCGACAACCCTTTTTGAATGCCTCTCCGACTTAACTGCTGTGGGCGTATGTTTCCGTTGCCTCTCAGCCTATCTTTACATTAAAGGTGCATTTTGTAAGATTTTGATAAAGAGCTAGCCATTCTTGCTATAATAGTTAAAAAATAGATAATGAGAAATGAAAATATTAAAAAACTTAAGTCGAATTACTTTATTCTGAGCAAAAGTTATGAGAGTTTGAAGTTTTGACAAGAAATATAGTCTTGCATGATTGTCAAGTACAGTGCTATGATAATAATAAACAAAGTTTCGATTATTCATTTTATCAATAAATTATTTATGGTGAGGTTGTTCTAATCCATTCAATATCTAAGCCATCTGATAGTTGATTATGGGCTTGTCATTTGAATAAATGCTTAATTAATAATCTATATAACATTTGAAGCTGGAAAAATGACTAACAATAGGCAGATGTAGCTTTTACATAATGCATCTTTAAACAAATAAACTATTCAGAGTGATAGATAATTTTGTGTTGATATTTTGCTTTGTGTAGGTACAGCGGTCAAACCTTACTATGATACAGTAAAGGGAATTGTAAATTTATTAGCATGGAAAACACCTCCTTATACCCTCATTGTCTTTGTGGTAAGACACCTTTCATTTGTTTTGCTTTTTTTGATATATGTAACCTATACAGAGAGAAATTGTGTGTACTACTGTCCAGTCAACTCTGCAAGTGCATGTTGGGTATTCAGGCCTATGTTCTCCCAGCGAAATTGACAGCCACATTGAAGTGAATGTCCACCAAGCCCATCTTGACATGAGCGCATGAATTCTACAGAGAATAATGCCATGTAATTTGAAAAAGAATTCTGTTTATAGGACTGCAGAATTACTGTGATCTTATTTTTAGATAGTAGCAGTAGCCCATTATTGTTTGCTCCAAATAAAGTTGTCATAGTCATTATTTATATATTGGTTTAGGATTGAGGCAAGCCAAATCATCAAAAATGTCAAATCAGGAGCAACTTTTGCTATCTCAATTTTGATGGGGGTGGATATGCTTTGAAATAATGGAATTATGATGTTAAATGAGCAATTGGTGGACATTGGTAAAACAAAAGTGAAGTTGTATTTTTGTCACTGTGGTTGTCTTTGCCATAGGGACATCAGGCTTTGGGACTGACATCATAATTATCATCGACCAATTCCAATTATTGAGATTTGCATATTGCCATTGCTAATTGCTTGATCTCTTGGAGTGACTTGGACTGATATGTAGCATGCTAAAACATTGTTCATTGCTTTTTTTTAACTCCAACTGGATCAACTTGCTATTCACTTGTCACCCATTGGTGAAGAAGAGGAGTAACTGGAAATGCTGCTGTTTACAGGATCGGGCAAAATTCCCCTCCCCTGCATTGCATACACTATAACTAGGGTATTATTTAGTTGTGCTGTTTTAGCGGGAGTTTCTGTATTTGTTATTTAATTTCAAACCATTGTTAGCAAATTATTCAAATTCGTTGAGAATAGTTGGGTAAACAACTGTTTACTTTCCCAAAAGGCGTTGAGTAATATTAACAGACTAATCTAGATACATATTAAATACATGTACCCATAGTAATAAAAGTTAACATATATGTCTGTTTCAAATTGACCAAAATATTGTGTTGTCAAGACATTAAACCTCATTCTATTGTGGTTGCTAAAATATTATTTGGTTTTCACAAAAATGATAAAATCTATTATTATATAATGATAAAATCTAGTATTATATATTGTACTTATGATAATTATAAAATATTTTCAGGTATATATGTACATGGTATTAAAGGGCTGGTTCTTTCCAACTTTATTGGCATGTTTAACTTTTAGACTTTTTATTAATATCCTCATTTACAGGTAAATATTTAATTTCTCTAAAAAAATCATTTATTATTTGCACGTAAAGGGTTACAGGTAAATATTGTTTTTCAAAATGTCAAATTATTTTTTGCATCTTGGTAAAGGTGAAAAAATGTTTACTTTTCTTTTAGTCTGTCATTTAAAGATATATTTCCTACAGCATTATTTGATCATCTATTCGGCGCACACAACTAATTTTTATCTGGAAGTATGTTTCCAATGAAAGGGAAAAATAAAATTATGGACTGAAATTGTGTGATGCCACAAAACATTAAATAAGTTAATCACTATAAATTGTCAACCACTGATTCGAAATTTGACCCGTCGTTGCTTAGCAATGTTCTCTCTTTCGCTAGCACGCCCATACACCCATCTTGCAATTAGTGTATGTGAAATGTGATTTTTTATTTCTCCTGCATTAACATTTGTATCATCTAAAATGTGATTGGCTTGAGAGATCTTGAAATATATTGTGTTTGTATATTTTTGTCTGTAGTTTGAATGTTATTAAGGTTCACTGCTGTGGAGGAAATACATCTTTTCTTTTGAGAAAGGAAACTGTCAACTATATAAGACTTTCAGATGCTATCGCTGTTACTGTTGAATAGATAATTGATTAATAATACATTATTTTATTTGAGTGCCCAGCCTTTTGGTAGGGTGCCCAACCATAAATAAATATCTCCCAATATCTCAATAATTATACCACAATAAGTATATAAAAAAACAAGTCTTAACTTACCACCTTACATTTATAGTCCCTAAATACCATTGTCAAGCCACCACCATTAAATCCGGGCATTTTTTAGTGCAAAATAGATTATTTGCCCTTGATATGAGATTAGTCCCTCTTAACCAGTCTACCGACTGTCTCTGGCTGATTGACAGGCCAGGATTATCAAGACTATTTTCTACGAAACGTTACAGAAAGCTAGATAAATAAATCTAATTTAGAAACAGGCATGTTAGGCAACTCAACGATTATTTTGAGAACCTTGTAAAAGTAGAATGAAACTACTGCTAGTATCATGTTCTTGCCTAACCCGAGTGTTTCAGAGATATTAATTTTACTAAACCAAAAGATGCCGCTTCTTACGGTATAGTTCATAATAATAGCAAATTCAAAAAACAAACGACCATAATTTTCCAAAGCTGCTGTAACAACGAATCAGAAATAATATTGTTATTCAGAATCATTAACAATAGATTTTTTTAAGGCCATAATAGGCGATAGATGTGTTGAAAATTTCACGTGCTATGGCTATTTATAGCATCATTGACTATAACGCCCAGTATTCTTGCACTCCGTGGCTAGCCAGAAGTCAGTTTTGGACTAGTCACTGAAGCGTGCACATTCGCTGTAGTGTGTAGAACTTTTAGTAGAGAAAATTTTGGCTGTGCAGGGCACCCTACTATTGGAAGTCCTCTTAAAAAAAATGACTTATTATCTTTATGTACATGTAGCTATATTCAATTTTTCAAATCGTAAATCCATTCACTTATTTTGTATATGTTGGGGAAGTGGTATCATTTTTCCTATTAGTAATTCTTTTCTGCATACAGTATTTTAGATCATTTGAATTACTTTGGATATAAGGTGAATACACATATTATTTTGATGGTATTCATTTATTATTAGATTAGATTATGTTGTTTTTTTTATATTTAGAGGGTGGAATGTACAGTTTAATTTTATAGATCCTGGAGAAATCGATGACAAGGTATATTAGATATTGACCATATATTATAACATATGATTTACCTGTTCATTAATTAATTACTGGTATTAGTGAACTAATAAATAGAACATAATAATCTTTGTTTCGATTTATAGGAACTAAACATCTTTAATTTAAGTCAAATTTAAAGTAGCTGAATCTCTATTTCAAAATTATCAATACTCTTCAGACATTAAAAACACGAATTAGAAATCAATATCGGTCAATTTCAACCACAATTGATGTTGTTATCTTACCATGAAAATATGGGCTTCTGGTATTAGAGCTGGGCGATATCCCTGGAAACAGATATCGTGATATTTTCAGAAAATATCGCGATATAATCACTATATCGCGATATTTTCTGAAATGTCAATAATTTCAGTTTAACCCCCTTTTAAATGTAAATAAACATGCATAAAAAGTTGGAAATACCCTAGAAGTATTCACTTTCTAGTCAATACTAATAGTATTAAAACATTTTTAGCATAAATATAGTACCAAATTTACTAACAAAATTTAATGAGCTGGTTCAAACATAGATCTCATAGCCATGAAGACTTGCTAAACAAATTGGTCTATGTTGTTGTTGTAAAGTACAAATTCTAATTTCCAAAATATTAATAATGATATTTTATTTAGATTACAAATATTTACATATGAAGTAGGAACAAAAAAAAGCAAAAAAAAACAAAACATAATAAATATTTGTGTTTGGCCGTGCATGTTTTTTTTATAGTCACGAGTACGATTGGATGTTATTCATTTACCCTTACAAACTCGTGTTTTCTCATTCAAGCATATGTTTTTCTTGAAAATGCATTTTACAGTAAAAGAATACTGAATTGAATCATAAAACATAAGTACTATGTCAAAAAGTATCCATTGATTTAGTCAAATAGCGATAAAGAACCGCCATGACACTTCCAACGCTGAACGATAATCAGTCTACCGGTACTCTCTATATAGTTGGCATTATTTATATTTCTGCATTATTAAAATTTATTGCAATCAGAAAATCAATGATTCCTTTGGAAAATCAAAGTATCGGTATAAACAATTCGTCAAGAGGCATAGAAATTTAAAAGAAGCAAGGATAATTCTTGGTGGTAAAGTGAACGAGAAGCCATGTGACGAGAAAGAGCTTGCGCTTAACGCCAAACGGCGTTTGCAAACTTCGTGGAATGAACACTCGGGAGTCAGGAGTTAAGTCTATGTCTCTGGGTTTTTTTTCAGATTGGATGATTTTATTATATTAATATCCGTAAATGTGTCATAACAAACAAAAACATCAAATACTATTATCTGTAATTGATACCCAATAACAACTGTTAGTCAAATTTAAGTATTCAAATATTTGTGTAAGCTTATCAACTGAATAATAATTGTTGGTCAGTTTATTGTTTTGAGGGATGTTTTGTTTAACCCGTTAAATGCGTAGGGCGTTATATAATGTCCTAGACAACTGCCACTCACTGTGTGAAGGGCGTAATATAACACCTTGGAGGTATATTCCCCAACCTATTCTTCGAACATACGATCGCAGCATGTGTAGGACGTTATATTACGCCTGGTCGAGGAAATCTAATTGAAGGGAGACAACTCTATTTACCGTTAGTTTTAATATGGTTTCAGACTACTATCATTTGTATTCAGGAATAAAAGGTCCAAAAATGACATTTTTCGTCAAATTAATTACACAATAGGGGGTAGTTAACGTTTTAAAAACTACACACTTAACGGGTTAACAAAATATAGATGATTTGGTTGTGAACCTACTCAAACTCACTTGTCTTCTGTTACAGAATGGAAATGAGTATTGAAATTAATGTGACTGGTTAGTAGAGATAGCATTTAACACATTAATTGATTTTACAATAAAATGTTTGTCATAATATATGTCATTTTCAGGACCCAGAGGAAAGTTTAGGGATATCAGATAAACTGAACCTGGTTATTGAAGTTGCTACTAAAGTTCAGGTAGGTCATTGTTCTTTCTAATCAGAATATATAGATTCAATTGTCTTTGAGTTGGACAACTATCATCTTCTTGGTGTAAAGTAATTCATTCCTTCATTTACCTATTTGAAACGTGGACATCTAAGATTTAGTAGAACTTTGCAAATGTTACAATGCAGGAGTGCTATTTCAAAATTTTTCTTGTTGGACAATTTACTGAAAATAAAGAGGCATAACTCTTATCGTAATACCCTGTAACCTGAGTATCGTTTAATTTCGCGACCACTGTTAAAAAATAAATAACCTCAATGAATATTAATGTATAATAATTAATTGGGACGTTTGTTTTAAACAGTAGTTGGTAAATTAAGTGCTTGCTTGTAAATTTGACACTTGTTATCAGAAAATTAGAAATCTATGAGTGGCGAGTAGCCGTCCCAGATTTCTGTCATGAAGCGACTAGTTTCGTTCATTTCGAACTCATAGTGCTGCTCTAAGCTCATTCATTGTTAAATCAAGATATGGATAATCGAGACTATGTACTTTATCGTACCGACTTTAGTAAGGATGATTGAAGCTAGACCCAAAATAAAATCGCTAAATTCTCGGTTCAGAGTGGATCAATTTGACTGAAATTTTCAGCAAATCCCTTTACATTATTTAGTTTTTAACTATATATTGAGAACTGCCAGCTCTTTGTCTAATCTCCCATAATGTATCTTTAAGAACTTTTGCAATGACGGCTATGCAATTTCATAAGATTTAGTCCCGAACCCACATTCTTTATTATCAGAATTAAATGGTAAGCTTTAAACTTGACACAAGTACAAATTAGGGAGGGGGGGGAATTTTAGACATTTTTCACGAATATTCAAATGAAGATTTGATATTGAATGAATGTGAAAAAAGTAAGGTCTAAATACGCAAGATTAAACGATAACCAGGGTACATTTTTATCTGTGTCACTATTTAGATTTTAAATGCAATTGTCGGTTTTATTGCACACTATCAGAATTTCAAATTCTAAATAGAAATTTCCATTGAAAACAACCGATTTAGATTAAACTAGACTGTTGAATAAATTGCATTGTCTAACTTCAAAAAGCAGACAATATGTCCGTAAATTGATAATATTCTTTTGGCAGGGTAGCAATATATAATTATATATCAATGCGTTATAATATTAACTTGGCACAAGGAGATTGGACAACTCTCACATTTCTTTCTTTCTTTGTTTTAATAACTGTTAGGTACAAGACATGGAATGTATTTACTCTTTTCGGAACCTCCGATATCACATACCGCATGGTTTACCTATCTACTGAGATGGATGTTCTTGATATGATTTTACAAACAGTTTTATAACACAATGTTATAAATGTCCTGGGGGGTTTGCGTGTCCGATTGATTTAACATGTTCACGTTAAATCATCGGGTCTGTCATTGTGTCAAGTGTGGTTTCGATTCCCCGTTTGTATATGAAAAGGAGTAGGGAGGGTCGTCTGTCCAACCTCATGGATTTTCTCTGGGTCCTCCGGTTTCCTCCCACTTCTAAAGACCTCTACAAGCTATTTATTGAAATAAGATTGAACCATATGTTAGTCCCGAGGTGACCTAGTTTGTGTCGAGTGGACGTTCAGCCCCATCTATCTCCCTATAAGTGTCCATTGCTCGTAATTTAAAATATAGAATTATGAAATATTGTCTTTTATTATTTAGAATACTCTGGGTCAAGCTGCAGATGGACTTGAAAAGATCAAAAGGTATATAATCATATTCTGTGCTGAATATACATGCACACAACTCTTATGGGGATTTTCTTTTTTGAGTGACTCAAATATGTTGTAGGCTACTTTTATTTTATTAATTTTATGATAAAGCATTTGAAATTTTACCATTCGTTTGGATGGGTTAAAAAAAAAAACGATCCTGTGTACACATTGGTGTGCATGTAAAAGAATCCTTGACAGTTTGAATTCAAATCAAGTTGGTCATAGCTCCGCTGCTAGCGTTTGCTCGTCTTCATTAGCTTAATTGTGTTAAATGTATTTGTGAACAACCAGTTTCTGTATGAACAAATAATGTTCTTTTATCCAGTCCAATATTTGTTGTAGTGAAAGTGGAGACATTTTGTGCTGGATCTTAATGTAACAATAATTGTTTATTTATGGCAGTTAGTTATTTGAAAGTATATATTAACCAAAACACATTATCTAACGATAAAAATATTTACTAAATGACAGAGGGTATTAAAATTTGTTATGGATATTTTCATTTGAGAATGCTACTATTGAGTTTGCTATGTTCATTTTGAGAATATGTTATTGTCAAATTTGTAATTTCTAGTTTGCTGACATGGAGACAACCAGATGCCTCGAATCAGCTGTTTTTAGTGATACTGACTGGCTTCATATCAACATGCATATTCCCAGGAACTGATCTTTTACATATAATAGGTAATATATATTAGACCATAAAAAGGTTTTGGTCTTCGAGAGACAAAAATCTGTTCAAGATAGACATGTAAGAGAGGTTTTTTATTTATTTTGGTATTGCAAATCATTGATCCAACATAGTAATCTGTATTGTGCCTAAATGTTTGCTCTTTGTGTCCAAAATTTCACATTGGTTTTCTACTCAAATGCTATTCCCTTGAAAAGATCAAACCCTTTCAAACAGTATATTCCCCTTGTGACGTAGTCTTGAAGAGTTTTGTACGTATATCATATGGAGACCAAACAACCAAATAAAGATTACGAAAGTACTTCGCTGAGCCCTTTTCTTACCTTCGTAATTTCTTTCTTGGTTTTACCGGACCAATTATAATTCAATCTAAATAGAATTATACTTTATGGTTCAGATTTTCTCCACTATATAAGATATTAAATATATTGAGAATGACGTCTGTTCAGTCACCTGACGTCGATTCTATCATACACAAAACTTCAGTGAATTTATAAATCGATCAATGGACGATGTCATAAAGAGTGAATGGAACAGTCGCATTTTCATAGGCTGTTTATAGTACACAAAAAAGAACCGACACAATGAGAAAATAATGAGTAATATATGAAATAGAGAAAACGAAAATAAAGTTTTGAACATCTGATTCTAATTCGATTGTTTATAATTTCTATTTCAATCTTTTTAAGGTCTTTTGATTGGTATTAAGTTATTTATTATTGACAATATTTATAACAAGTTTCCTCGTATTAAAAAGAAATATGATACAACTCATCAAATGTGGTTATCATTACCAACAGACGCTCAATATGAAAAGAAACATATGAAGTTGGAAATTGACAGGGTAAGTTAACTAAAGACTAGACTATTCTTTTATTTAATAAGTTTAGGTTAATTGTTTTTAATTTATTTACGCCCATATGTTAATGTCATTTAATGTTTTTGTTAGCCTATCCATCTGTTGGTTTGATACACATTCATGTTAATGTAGTTGTATATTGTTTTCATGAGTTAACACGTTTAACCAGAGGCCAGAGGCCGAGGCATTAAACCTGTTAACGAATGAAGCAAGCTATATATGACTTGTAACATTGACACCTGCTCAACATGATTGTTGTTATTGCACAGAAAACCCACCCCACTTCTTTATATGATTTCTACTAAAACTAGCGTAAACCAGCAAAAGTGTGCAATAACATTGATCATGTTTAGTTATTGCACGGTTAAGCTCCACCCAATCTACTAGAGGGAAAACAATCTGCTCATTCAACGAAAAGAACAAAGGAAGATTTCCCGTCCATGTTACAATAGTAGCTAAAGGCTTTAAAAACATGTTAAAAAGGATTATTATCGGGGTAATGGAGTTCAAGCATTTCTTGGGAGTTCTTGTACCTGACTTTAAATCATGGATGCTGTTGGTTAGTTTTGTATTACTGGCCATACTGCAGGCACAGTTTTCATATTCCTTTTGACCTAGTAGTCTCTATCATATTAGTCTGGATTGATTGTCAATATTTGAGCATATCTAGGTCATTGGTTAGATTGTCTTTTATGTTTTGCATTCATTGCCTGTTTGCATCTATTATTGCACTACCTATTCAACATCAAACACTCCTAAGTGTTTTTATTGTAAAACTTATCTCTTCAAGGATATAATATGGTTTTTATACACCCACATTTTCATGTGGATGTATTATGCCTATGCCCCTGTCTGCCCGGACATCCGTACACAATTTGTTTGTGGACACTCTACACATCTCAATTTTTATCCGATTTTGGTTAAAAATGAAATATAGGTCTATCTCCCAAAAAATCTTGGTTCCTGTCAATATTCGCGCATATCGGATCGTAAGTTCCTGAATTATGGCCCCTGATAGTACGTAAATTTGTGTCTTAAACTTGTGGTCCCTCTTGAAGTCACAATTATTATCCGATTTAAAAAACTGCCGGACAAAATGGACACCCCTCGTTTGCAAATAGTGTAAAAATATGGTATATGAAGGTTGTGAACTCTCTAGATGTCACAATCCTCATCCAATTTTGACGAAACTTGAAATGCATTTGTATAACCCAAAGAACTTGGTTCCTTTCGATATTCACGCATATCAGACTTTAACTTCCTGAATTATGGCCCAATATATCACCATTCCTCAATAATGAAGGTTGAATTCAAATTTCGGGAAAAATTGAAACTAAACTGTGAATCCGAAACAAAAAACATGTTGAGTTTTCGTTAAAAACAAACCTACTAAAACACTCTTTTAATTTTTACTTCTGCACAATTAATCATTATTCCGGACGGTATTATACCTGAACTTTATTTTCATAATTTTAAAATCCTTCATACATGCGGGAATTAAGCAAAACCAAAATGCTTACAAAAGCTACAAAAATGTTGAAATCAATCATTTCACAATTTTCAACTGCTGCATTTGGAAATTTCAAAGTTCTAAACTGGAGAAATTCGTCACTACCGGATAGGAATACTTATCAGGTTGAAAAAGTACCATGTAACTATAAGAATACTGTAAATTCTAAGGAGGAGTTAGAGAAATTCTGTATAAAATCCCGCAATGTCAAAAATCACATCGCTCGATTTGCTGTTGACATTGAGATCTCGTCGTGTCTCGTGCAAGCGCAGAGAAACCAACCAAAGGGACTCGTTGCCTGTCCATCTATATACAGTCCATGGTAATACCAAGGTTGTGGACACTCTAGAAGTAGAAGTCACAATTTTTATCTGATTTTGATCAAACTTGAAATGTATGTTTATACTTCACAGATCGTGGTTCCTTTTGATATTTGTGCATATCGGATCTTAACTGTCTGGATTATGGCCCCTGATTGTACAAAAATTAGCTTTTTTTGCTTGTTCTCTATCCATCTCTTGCAAAATGTGGGTGTATCCTGTCTTGCAACTGCTGGTTATTAATCCTAATTCATTGCCACGATCTATGTTTGTTATAATATGCTTTAATGATGAGATCTATTTAGCTTAAATGTTTCATTGCTGATGCGTAACCTGGAGTTTTTTTTTTTTATGTGATTGATTAGCCTGCAAAATATTATCAGATGTAGACAACTGGCCCAAACCACCGTATGGTGCAGACTAGAAGGATCTGGGTGTCCGAAAGTAGTGGCAGAGTGAGTGGTCTAATGTGTGCATAGTAGACCATAGGGTCAGTCATTGATCCAAGTGTTGGGATTAGGATCAGGTCGTGGGATGCCTGCCTATACTCATGGGTCCAGATTCTATTAAAGATAAAATATAACATGTCCCAACCAAAGTGATATAGTTTTCAGGTGCACATAATTTATTCTGTCATTGATATAGTTAAATATTCAATTTCACATATATTTCAGTATATTTTAAAACATGGTGAGGTTCCAGATTCAGAGGAAGTTACAGATGAATATACATCAAGTGATGATAAGGCTTTTTGTCAACTTTTCTCTTTACCTAATTCAGAATCACCATTACCTGGTAAGTAGGGAATTGTAATAATGGGTGGGGTGAGGACACTGTATGTACTAAAAGGACCAAGAGGTGGAAATAATGACATTGCCAAAGTATAAGTTAAAAGGTTTTCAAGTTATAGCCTTTCACATCGGGTGGAACATCACGGGAGCTAACAAGAATAAGCTGATGTCAAGAGTTTGTGAAGAAAAATGGCGTTTTTGAATTGTCGAAAGAGGGAAATTTTAACCATCCAAACTTAATTTCAGACAGATGCTAATCATTCAAGACCATGGATTGATAGTAAAAATTACAAATAAAAAATTGTTTATTTTGTTTTAGGTAATTTGAGAGATAACTCTTATTTGTTGTATGTTTTGTCCAAAGAAGATTATTAGTCAGCCAGAACTTGTTCTGTCCGGCCATTATATGCAGAATGCAGTTCAGATAAATTACATTTCTCGGTGAAACTTAGCATACTAGAAAGAGACAAATGGTTTTTAACATTCTAATGAAAATAATTGATTTTCTTTTAAAAGACAGATTTTTAAATTGTCATTTAGATTGAACCTAAAGAAAACCTAGACAAGTTCTGGTGTACAAATGTTAATAAGTCATTGTATATTTACATTGAATTAAAATCAGATAGTCTATTTAATAAATTTTGACTTCTCTTTAAGGCTGGCAGGGTGGAAGAATGTGTACTTTAATAAACAGAGAAAAATCTTTAGCTTCAGCTTTTAAAAGTGGTAAATTATATTTAACGAGAAGGTGTGTACATCCTATCATGCAAATTTGACAAAAATTGAACAGCTAGTACTGCACATGGAATTCTAGTAATGGTTGATAACTACTTTAAAATAGTTCTTTGGGGAATGTCTGGATATTGACTGAATTTTGGATTTTTTTTTTTGATAAAGGGCAGTGCCGTGCCGTTGATGCATATTTGATGCATATTTACACCTTTTAATAAAAAAGTTTTAAATATTCGCTTAAATTGTTCATTGTCCCATCATGAAGACCTACATTAAAATTCTGAAATCTTCTACAGCTATAATCTGAGTGATTGGATGAACTTGGACAGTAGGGACTGTAAATAGTGTATTGTCATCTATGTACTTTGAACTGACTTTCTAATCAAATTCTCTGACAAGGACAGCTGTCTAGTCCTTCGGATGAGACGGAAAACCGAGGTCCAGTGTATATATTGGAATGCACGTAAAAGATCCCCTGGCAATTGGAATTCGATATAACAGTGGGCGATAGTGCCGCTGCCCGGGCAAAATTTCCCTCATAGCACACTGTATGGCGTATGCCCGTCTTCATTAGCCCAGATAGGAACAGAACAGTAGAACATTAAACCCCATTTCATTTCATTTCATTTCTAATCAAATTCCTCATATATATTCTATTTACAGTTTTTTATGCTTTGAAAGAAGTAAAACTCCTTCACCAAAGAACATTGTAATTCCTCTGGCAAATATCAGTGGTCTTGAAAAGGTATAAAACTTAATTTAATTAAACCATATTTACACTTACAAAATTCAACTACTTTACAAGTATAATGTATGCAGGCCTTGATTGGTAGTTTTTTATATGCCCACATTTTCATGTAGACGTATATTGTCGTCGCTTCTGTCCGTCCGGATGTCAGTTTGTGGACACTCTACAGGTCACAATTTTTATTCGATTTTGACGAAGTTTAAAATATAGGTATATTTCTCTCAAAGATCTCGGTTCCATTCGATACTGGCATATATTGGATCCTAACTTCATGGATTATGGCCCCTGATTGTACGAAAAATCATGTTTTTAGGTTTTTAGTTTGTGGACACTCTAAAGGTCACAATTTTCATTTGATTTTGATGAAACTTTAAATGCATGTTTATAACCCAAAGATCTTGATTCGTTTCGATATTTGCGCATGTCGGATCGTAACTTTCTGAATTATTGCCCCTTATTGTACAAATAATAATGGAGGTAACAATTTTTATCCGATTTAAAAAAACGTTTGAATATATCACCGTTACACCCTAATGATGGCAGACTAAAACTGCCAGATTAAATGGCCGCCCATGTATGCAAATAGTGTAAATATATTGTGTATCAAGGTTGGTGGACCCACTAGAGGTCATAATTTTGATCCGATTTTGATGAAACTTGAAATACATGTTTATAACCCAAAGATCTTGGCTCCTTTCGAAAGTTGTGCATATCGGGTCATTATTTCTTGAATTACGACCCTTGTTTGTACGAAAAATCCGATTTAAAAAAAAAAACGTTTGAATATATCACTGTTACCGGACAGAATAGGCACCCCTCGTACGCAAATAGTGTAAATATATGGTATTTCAAGGTTGTGGTTCCTGTCGATATTCGCGCATATTGGATTGTAACTTCCTGAATTATGGCCCTTTATTGTTTGAAAAATCACTTTTTGTTTAGCTTGTTCTCTATCCATCTCTTCAAAATGTGGGCGTATCCTGCCTGGTAGCTGCTGGTTGACATTTTGAATAGAAACGGTAACAAAATGTTCTTGGCTTTCGTACAGTTTGTTAGTAGATTTTGACGAATCTTGAAATATAGGTTTATCTCTGAAAGATCTCATTTCCTTTCGATATAGGCATGTGTCGGACCATAACTTCATGGATTATGGCCTCTGATTGTATGAAAGTCACGTTTCTAGCTTGTGGACGCTATAGAGGTCACAGTTTTTATCAGATTTATATGAAACTTGATACACATGTTCATAAGCCAAAGATCTTGGTTCCTTTCGATATTCGTGCACATCAATCGTGGTCTTAGCTTGTGGTCCCTCTAAAGAGGTCACAACTTTTATCCGATTTTCAAAACTGTTTGAATATACCACCATATCACACTCTAATGATGGTCGAGTTCAAATTCTGTGAAAATTTGACAAAAACTGGGCATTTCAGACCATACCTTTCTGGATTATGGCCCCTGATTGTACAAAAAAAAAGCTTTTGTTTTTAGCTTGTTTACTATCCATCCCTTGCAAAATGTGGGCGTATCTTGCCTGGCAACGGCTGGTTATTTGATTTTAAAAACCAACCACCATGGTTGAGTTCAATTGCGTGAAAATCTGACTGAATCTGCCAGACAAAATGGCCGCTCCCCGTATGCAAATAGTTTAAAAGCTTGTAATACCAAGGTTGTGGACCCTCTAAAGTCACCATTTTTATCCAATTTAAATGAAACTTGAAATATATGTTTATATCCCAAAGATCTCGGTTCCTGTTGATATTGGCGTATATCGGACTGTAACTTCCCGGCTTATGGCCCCTGATTTGACAAAAAATCACGTTTTTACCTTGTGGACTCTCTAGAGATCACAATTTTTACTTGGTTTTAAAAACCGTTCAAACATATTGCCATTAGACCATAAGTATGATTGAGTTTGAATTTTGTGATAATCCGACCAAAACTGTAATATCAAGTTTGTGAATCCTCTAGAGGCCACAGTATTTGTCCAATACATGTTAAGAATTGGACAGTCTGTGCTGGGTTATGTCCCCTGCCTTTTATGCAAAGTTTGTGGACCCTCTAGGGGCAATTTAGATGAAACTTGAAACACGTGTAGAGTTATAGCCCTGCTTTTTACACAAAATATGAAATATGTATGAAGATTTTGGTGCACATCAAAACTTACCCAAATTTGATATGTGAAGCATTGAAACAATGAGAGATTTCCCTTGTTCCCTGTCCATCTCTTGCAAAATGTGGACGTATGTTGCATGGCAACCACTGTTGACATAAAATGAAATGTACAGATTGCCTTACATGTATGCATTTAGTTCTGATAGTGTAAAATTATGAATTCTCTAATTGAGTTTATAGCGACTTGATCAGTACCATCTACACCAAAACACTATCAAGCCAAGGTTTGATTGAAATTTCTGTCTTTATATTTGGTTAGAAATAGAAAAGGCTTAATTTGTGCTTAGAAAGAATAATATTGATCGTCCTGTTTTCTATATATTATATAAGAAACTCACAGTTTTGCGTCTTTTATATTCAAGGCTAAACCATATTCATGGTTACCTGGTGGTGGTATGGCTATAGAAGTTACTGTTACTAATTCTGACAAGGTAAACTATTTCTGTACTAGTTAATTAGATGTCAATGACTCAAACCCAAGTAGTCTAATGTATGAGATCTGTCATTAAGTCAAATGGCATGGTTTTGATCCTAAGCTGGTATGTGACAAGGAGTAATGTCATCTGCCCAACCATGTCCTCTATGTGCAAGCAAATTATTAAAATATAAATTGTACCATGTGATACTCTCGAAGTGACCTGGTTTGGGTCGAATGGGGGATTGGTTAGTGCATGCACGTTATATCATGAAGTCTATCACTGTGTCAACTGGTGTGGTTTCGATTCCCAGGATGTACATGACAAGGGGTAGGGTCCCTGTCCAATTCCTTTGGTTTTCTCTAGGTCCTCCGGTTCCTCCCACTGCTAAAGTCACCTGTGCAAGTGAATTATTGAAATAAAATTAAACCATATGTTAGTCTAGAAATGACCTAGTAGTTTGTGTTGAGTGGACGTTAAACTCTCTCTCTCTCTCTCTCTCTAACATGACTGCAGTTGTATGTCAAACAGAGGCATGCATGGTAGGCTCACAATTTTATGAAGATAATGGTACCAGTTACCATTATGTTTGTTTTTTGGGGGTTTTTTTCATGTGGTTAACCCACCTTCTGTCTTATTACTCAATATTTGCTGGATGTGTCTGTTGGACTTTGAATAAATATTTTGACATCAGGTTAAGGTCATTGTGTTTGCTTTTTATTCAAGATAATTGATAGACATTGCGATATTGGACTGGCTTCCAATAAGTATCAGTGCAGTATCTTTGATTTGGAATCTTTTTTACAAGTAAATTCTAATCCATAAGGTTATTCCTGATTATCTTTGTGATAAACTATTATTATTCTAAGAAACATATATTCATGGGGGAAAAAATACAAAATTATATGTCATGAATACCAGCAAGAATTACACAATGGTTTATTTCCAATTGGGTTTTTTAGTAGCAGATCAGGGCATGTCATCCCTGTAGGGCAGATTCTCAATAAAACTGCCTCCCAGTGATGTCAATTTATGACCTCGACCTTGACTTAATCACAGCCATGACCTGGTCTTCATCACAACTACCACAGTCTCACTTTCTACAGAAGACATCTTATCACAGTAACCAACCAGAGTAAAGCTTTTGATTAATTTTTGTTTTAAAAATCTCTTGTCTGTTTTTACTTCAGCATTGTTTGTTTTTTTACTTCAGCATTATGTTTTTGGTGCAATCTTAAATCGCGATGAAGCTTTTGATAGTATCATCACGACTGGACGTAAAGCCAGTTTATCGTGGTCTGTTGATCCCTCTCAGCAGATTTAAAACACCAGACACTAACCTTTGGTATAATATTATTTACTTAAATGGCATGCTTCGTTTAGTGACCATATCCTAAGCTTGAAGAGCTTTATGGCCAATTGTTCAATTTTATCTAGATGTGTGCTCAAATGCTTACAGTATTTGCCATTGCAAATCCATCTAATTGTCAAAAGGCAAAAAACATATGATGGGTTTTTAATGTTGTTATGTAGTGTTGTTGCTCCAGTGGGTTCGTCCAACTCCTTACAATCGCTCTACAGGTCAAAGTCTGTCATTTAGTCAAGTATCATGGTTTCGATCTCACACTTGTATGTGACAAGGAGTAGGGCGGCCTTTCCAAGCTCGTAGGTTTTCTCCTGATCTTCCGGATTTATTGAAATAAAATTGACCTAGTTGTGTCAAGACATTGAACTCTCTCTCTCTCTCTCTCTCTCTCTCTCTCTCTCTCTTTGTGTTTTCAAACTTTATAACTTTGTGGTCTTATTCAGACATGAACCATTTTTTAAATCAGTGTGATGCTTCAGTTATTCACAGAGTTATTATCCCTGTATCAATTATTGTAAGAGTTATTACCCATGTACTACCTATAGTTATATAGACATAAACCCTATCGAAATTCAGTTATTCGCAGAGTTATTATCCATGCATCAATTATTGTAAGAGTTATTACCATTTTACTACCTATAGTTATATAATAGACATGAATCCTATCGAAAATCGCAGATTTATTATCCCTGCATCAATTATTTGAAGCGTTATTACACCCTTGTAATTGAAACCTTATAATTGCTAGCCTTAAAGATTTTTACTTCCATCTGTCCGAAATTGTTGTCTATATCATTTTATTGGGGATTTGGGAACCTTCAAACTTTTTTAACAAAAAATTGCATTTATTTATTGTTTAGGTTGTCATGGTGTTCCACTCTATTTCAATGACAGTTATTCTGGCACACTGATTTGAATTTCAATGCATGCTTGACTTTGAAATTTTTAAACCTATGAAGCATCTTCATTTATAGGGATACACAATGGAACATCCTGATATTAAATTATCTCAATTCCTTAAATGGTGACAATTGCTTAAGATCATCTCCGCATATCACCATAGCTGAATAGATAATTATACTCACACCACATTTGTCATTAGCGACTGTAGAACTGTGTAAATTTGGAAAATTCTGGATTCAAAATCTGTCAAGTATCTCCAGTGATTTCAGATATGACATTTTATGGTTTCAATTAATCGACCTATGTATTAGCTTAATATGCTTTATGGTGCTATATAAAATATCCTCTAGACTGCATGCTTGAAAGTTTATTTTGTGCACAAACTATTTATTGTTTTATGGAACTGATTGTTTAAACTATCAAGTTGATTGTCAAATTTGTCGACTTTGAAATATTTTACTACTGTCAGACAGTGCAATGAAAATGATATCTTCTTACCCTATGAATTCATTAAGCCCTAGACTTAAACAAAAATTGACAAAGAGTTGGTCAAGTTACCTGGGTTATCCAGGCATTGAACTTTTCCCACTTTCAGTATTTACTGCCGTAATCAGACAAGATTTGGATTGGAATAAGGATAAAGAGATACGTACAACTTTATGTGCTGTTATTGGGACATTGACTGATCACATCGTCAACATTTTTCTCTGTATTAAACTGAATGGTTAAATACATGTGTCTGCATGATGGAATGATATTTATCCACTTGATAATCAAAATATTTTCCTGGAGTTTGTCTTAGGAATGGTTATGTAAATCATTTGGATTACTGTGACCCATAATACTAATTGTTTTAGTGTTGGCATGGAATATTGTTGTTTATACGTCAGTAACCATGCTTTCAGAAAATACTGCTATGGTTTAAATAGGCTTTAATATGACAGCTTCTATATAATTTTCAGCAAGGCAACTAGATGTATTTCTATTAAATGATTGCAAAGAAAATTAAATTTGTTTATTTATGATTACTAAGATAATTAATTATTGCAGAAAACTTAATTTAACCCTTTAATTACCAACAAGTAATACTTAAAGGAGCTAAATCACTTTGATTTTGATCAAAATAGAGTATAGAATTAGGTGGAGCTGAAGTGCTAGGCCTATTAATAGCTGGGGTCCGCTGATTTACTAATTGGAACACAAAATTGGTTATGTCTTAATACTGGCTTTATCTATGGATATAAATGTTCTACAAAGGTGGATCAGCATCATAATTTAAAATCCAGGTGTTTAGCCATTTTAACATTGGAACTTGGAAAGTATTAATAAAACCACCACTAAAAAGAAAACATCATTTAATCTTAAATTTGTGAAGTTGGTACTTGTAACTGAATACAGTTTGAGCAAAAAATGAAAGTAAAATCAGTAAACAATCTGACTTCCACATAATATTTCAGAACAAACATTTTACCGCTTGATTTTGATAATTCACTTTTCGAAATGACTCATCAGATCAACTTTATTATTTTAATCTCTTATTACTTTTACAGTCATTTATGTTTGGTGGCCTTATGAACAGAGATGAAACTTTCAATAAAATAACACAAGTTGGAATGGCAGCACAATTACCATGGGCTTCAGGTTTACCCTTAGATGAATTACACATGACCCGAGAGTTAGCAAAGTTCAACAAAAAAAGTCAGCCTCATAAGTTTAAGAATTTAAGCATCGGAATGGTTTGTGATGATAAAGAAAATGAAAATTGATTTTATTTTGTCATCTTATTCCTTTAGTACTGCATTAAATTTTATTCATAAATAATTGAACTCAACTTAGGTTGATGCTTGCTTTTTATGGTCTAGACAACTTCCAAATCAATTTTAGGATGCTTTCCATGCTTGCATCATTTACAAGTACTTTAATTATAATTTTTTCGTCTTCCAAATGCTTGATTGCTTAATTTCATTGAGCAATACCAAAGCTGTAATATCATGGACCAACATATATCATCAAGAAACAAAAATATATAGCTTTGAAGGAGATGTTACATCAATTTCTATATTCTAACAAAAGATGGATAATGATGACGGCCACTTGGATCAACTTTCAGAAATTTATTTAGGGGTTCCATTTAAGGGCCACCATAATTGAAGATTATGACATTGATGTCATCAATACCATCAAATATGGCAAATGACAAAATTGTGAGTAAATTGATCAAATTAGCAATTATTGCTAGTTTGATTCCTCCAGTGACATCATAAAGAATTAATATAATATAGGATTTGAACAGAGGCTTCTAGCAAGTTTTTTTAATATTTGATTCTATAGCCATTTATTATCTATCTATTCTCACAAAATAGAAATAGGTGGACCATCTTAGGTGAACCAACATGAGTATTATTTTTAATGGATTATTGACTTTTATATTTTAACAGTCCTTGATTTCTTTTTTTAATGCTTTAGCAAGCCCACATAATTATTGAACAAAAATCTTTAATATCTACTAATAATGGACCATAATTAATTATATATCATCCAGTAGTAGAAATACATACCTTTAAGAACATATTTATTTAAGTGTAGTTAAAACAGAATGTATAGATTTTTAAATATTAGTATGTATTAGAACAAAGATATAATTTCATTTCATTGTTTTTAAGTCTTCATTCATTACAGTACCATATTTTATTTTTCAATATAACATATTTTTGTAAGTTTTGTGATACCATCAAAGTAGACTGTTAAGTTCTACAATATGATCATTTAGCCAGAAATGAAACTCGTTCCATATTGACCATTGGAAATTAATAATTTATGGAATTAAGTTATATTTTGTAGTGCTTATGAAGTGCTAATAACCAGAAGATGATTATTCTGAACCAGAGGTTTTTGGTAATGGCCTGTACCATGTGTCACTAATATATTTACATATTTTAGTCCGTAGCATGTCGGTCATTTTATATAATTCCAAGCTAAAAATAAATCCTAGAGTCCCATCATCTTCTATATAGTTACAATCATCTTGAACAAACTACTAGATCACTATAACACAAGGCTAACATTATCCCATTGCTTTATTAGACTTCTATATCATAAATATTGCTCTGCTCTTGCCTCGGTATCATGTCAGTAATATGGTTCCCAATAGTGTTATGAAATACTGAAGCCCAGTTATCTTGTTTAATAATTTTGTCAGCTAAACATGGTTATGTGAGTTGCAATCTGAAAATCTGTTCTACAATACAACTATTTTTTTTCTGGTTTTTGCTCAGTAAATATATTTTAACAGTAAACATGATAATTGAATTATATCCTTTACTTTTTGAAGTAATTTTAGAATATATTTAATTGAATAATGGTATTTTCTGCCTTCCAAATTGATTGACACATTTTAAAGGCCACTTAGTTATTAAAGGGTAATAATTGTACTGGTTATAGCCTGATTTTGTGTATATTATTGTAAGCCATTGTGTTTTCATATCAACTGTTATCATACGCCTACATTTTCATGTGGACGTATATTGTTGTCGCCCCTGTCTGTCTAGACGTCTGTCCACATTTTGTTTGTGGAGACATTACAGGTCACAATTTTTATCCAATTTTGATAAAACTTAAAATTCATGTTTATATCCCCAAGATCTGGGTTCCTTTCGATACTTGCTCGTATCGGACACCAACTTCATGGATTATGGCCCATGATTGTAACAAAAATTGCTTCTTTTTATTTTTAACATTTGCTCTTGCAAAATGTGGCGTATCTTGCATGGTAACTGTTTGTTATCCGATTTTGATGAAACTTGAAATGTATATTTGTAACCCAAAGATCTTGGTTCCTTTCGATATTCGTGCATATTGGACCGTAACTTCCTGGATTATTGCCCCTGATTGTACGCAAAATCATGTTTTTAGCTTGTGGTGCCTCTCGAGATCCAATCTGATTAAAATACAGATCTATATTTCATTTCGTTTTTTTATACTTTCAATGGCCTACACTACATGAAAATTTGACCGGTGGTACTTGAAGGTCGGGTCAGGGGTCGTACGAGCGGCTTTTGACCCTATGATGTCTGACATTGATAAATCAATTAGCATTGGCGTTTCTAGTGGTTTACCCACAGTTCCATGCATGGCACGCCAAGAAGTCGCTGTAACAGACTTATCCCTTACTTAACCAAAACGCCAGTAATATAACAACTCTTTCAGATCTTAGTGTAGTAAAGACAAGTAAAATAAAATTTTATACTATAAAAAACGAAACAAAATAGGATCTGTGTTTTAATCAGGTCCCAATTTTTATCCGATTTTAAAAAACGTTCAAATATATCACTGTTACACCCAAATGACGGTTATACTATAAAAAACGAAACAAAATAGGATCTGTGTTTTAATCAGGTCCCAATTTTTATCAGATTTTAAAAAACGTTCAAATATATCACTGTTACACCCAAATGGTGGTTAAGTTCGAATTGCATGAAAATCAGACCGAAATTGCCTGACAAAATAGCAACTCCTAGTATGCAAATAGTGTAAAAGTATGTAATACCAAGGTTGTGGACCTTCTAGAGGTCACAATTTTTAACCGATTTTGATGAAACTGAAGAAAATGTTTATTTCCCAAAGATCTTGGTACATTTTAGAATTCACACATACCGGACCATAACATAATGGATTATTGTAGGACAAACTGACTGGCCCTCATACGCAAATACTGTAAACATCTTGTATATCAAGGTTGTGGACCATCTAGAGGTCCAAATTTTGATCTGATTTTGATGAAACTTGAAATTCATGGTTATAACCCAAAGATCATGGTTCCTTTCGAAATTCGCGCATATCGGATCATAACCTGATTGTATGAAAAATCGTGTTTTTAGCTTGTGGTCCCTCTAGAGGTCACAATTTTTATATATGTTTTAAAAACCTGCAAAATATATAACCGTTACACCCTAATGATGGTTTAGTATGAATTTTCGTGAAAATCAGACCAAAACTGCCTGAAAATATGGCCGCTCCTCCTACACTAATAATGTAAAAGTATGTAATACCAATAATGGAACCTCGAGATGTCACAACTTTTATCTGATTTTGATTAAACTTAAAATATATGTTTATATCCCAAACAACTTGGTTTCTTTTGATATTGTTGCATGTCGGATCGTAACATCTTAGATTATGGGCACCTGATTGTACGAAAAATCGCTTTTTTAGCTTGTTCTCTGTCCATCTCTTGCAAAATGTGGGCATATCTTGCATGGCAACCGCTTGATACTGTTTTTATTTATATGATTGTTATATTTGTACCAAATTGATTAGGTATTGTATCAAATTTTACTGTGTTTGACCCATTAATGTGCCCACAATCTCATAATAAATTGTGCTTTGAATAATAGCACAAAGCAATTATACCAACAATTCTTACCACTATACTTTTTTTTTCTCCAATTCACCTTGGTTTCAAGATATTTTTTTTATAGGGCTACATTCAGTAAAGTACAGATTGTAATTGGTCAGTTTATGAATGATCTAAAAAAAAACACCTTTTATACACCCTATATGGAAATGTGGCCTCATATTGCCATTGCATCTGTCTGTCCGTCCGATTGTCGGTTAGTCCATCCTTCCATTGTCCACAACTTCTTGTGAACACTCTACAGAGTACATTTATTATCTGGTCATTTCGAAATTTATAGATGTTGTTTACATTAGTTAGACAAAGAAGCGTATTTAATTTCAACAATTTCTGTTGATTACTTCTGGAGTTAAGGTATTTGTTACACTTTGTAGAAACTAGTGAACGCTCTAACAACTAAAGTTATCATTTGATCTGTATTATATTTACGAGCATTATTTAAATTAGTAAAACGAAGAATCCTATTGAATTTCAGCAATTTCTGTTAATCTAGAGTTACAGCAATGGTTTCACTTTGTTGAACCTTGTGAACGCACTAATGTCAAAACTTATTGTCCGATCTATATCAAACTTACTTGCATTATTTAGAATTAGTAAAATGAAGAAATTTTTAAATTTCAACAATTTCCGTGTATAATTTCTAGAGTTATGGTCCTTGTTTCACTTTGTTGAACCTTGTGAATGCTCTATCAAAAAAAGTTATCTTCCGATCTGTATGAAATTTATATGCATTATTTAGATCATTAAAACGAAAAATCCTATTATTTATATTTGTTAGATGGAGAAGCCTATTTAATTTCAACAAGTTTCATTAATTACTTGTAGAGTTATGGCCCTTGTTGAACTTTTGAATGCTCTTATGACAAAAGTTATCATTCGATCTGTATGAAATTTATATCAGTGTCCTGTAAATGTTCACTGTTGTGAGCATATGTGTTTTGTCTGGCAACCTATCTTGAGAACATTTTGTTAGATGTTCATAAAGTGACGAACAGAATAAACTGAACGCAATCAACATCCTATTTTAATCCGATTACAGCTATTGTTTAAAGTCTATTTCAAGAACCCTTGAAAGTTGGAATTCAAAATAATGCCGCTGTTGGGACAAAATTTTCCTGATAGCACAAGGTATGGCGGTGTATGTCCGTTTTCATTAGCCCAGTCAATGTAGAATAGTTGGACGTTCAACTCCATTCCATTTCATTAATGCATCCCCCTGCAGGTCAACTACATTAAATGATATTTAGGATCATGATTTAAAAGTATTAAAATTCTGAATTCAACTTAAAATCAAATCGTTTCAGTATTTTGATAATTTTTTTTCACCTTTGTATATTTATAAGAGTATGTGTGCTTTAATCGGTCAAATACTGTATTATATGTTGATGTTAGTTAGTTCATTGCATTGTAGTTTTTGTTTTATATTTATCAAAATTTTGTTACAAATATTTATTGTCTTCCTTTGTTATAGAGCTACAGTACTGTGTAGTTTTGTTGTTGATTAATTAATTGATGTTAATTCTGCTAAAATACTGACAATTGTCTCTAGGCTACTAAACCTCTATATATATTGAGGCGCAATGAAAACACATCACTGATTATACTGGAAGTTCTTAAGAGAAATCAACATCCCACAGGGGCCTTAGCAACTTTACCTTACAGTGAAACATAGGCACATGGGGTAAAAAACAAACTAAGGGGGAAATATAACAACATTATTTTACTATCAAACATAGGCACAAGGTACAAAAGTCAAAGTTGGTAACATGTGAGTCTAGTTCCATCAGGCTATGAATGGCTATTGTGTGACTCTTCTCCATCTTTTGTTGCATAGCTGGCACTCATGTTTTCTTGAATTAACACAATGGTGCATTGTAATGTACCTAGCTTTTAAAAGCTACATTTCATACCCAGTGTCTCTCAAATGGGATCTACAATCACCCATTTATAAAAGTGGTGCGTTTTCAATGGATCTCAGTATATATTGTACAACCATAGGGTTATAAGTGACAAACCAATATGTCGCGATAATTATCTGTCAGTTATTTGTTGCTGCTGTTATATCTATGTTACTTATGGATATTGTTTGTTTTAAATTCCAATTTATTTTATAATTTTTTATGGCAATGACACAGATTCGTGCTAACAATGGTCAGTACAAAATACTTGTTAGAATGAGAATCTGCCATTCTCTTAGAGCTTTTCATCAGTCATAAGTACATGTATATATTGCACGAGCTTAGGCGAGAAGTGCCCTTATTTTACAAACTGTTTACATATTTTAGCTGCTCACGTAAATGTATAACATGTGTGGAAGGGACCACTCATGTCTCATTGAAAATTAAGATGCATTTTTTACAGTGTATTGCCATTTCATAGTCTTCTTCAAATGTCTCCTTCATATTTTTATTTTATAGAATTTTCCAGCTCTCTCCCTCTGTGTTCAAATGTTATTGGTAAGGCTGTGTGATAATTGTTTGAAATAATTACTGAATGTCTAACATATCTTAGACATTGCTTTGATTTTTTTCAAAATTATCCATCTTTTTTCTAAACTTGAAAAAAATTTGTGCAGGTGCCTTACCTTTAAACAAATCCCTCCAGTTCTTTTTCTTTTTAAATTCTCAGTTATTTTTATATACTCACATTTCAAGTTGAAGTATATTATCGTCACGCCAAACCCAGTAGGATATTTGTTAATACTCAGTTATTTTTATATAGCTACTTGCTGGGGTTCTTCAGCTCGCCTTTAGGAAGAACTCTGTCGAAGTAGTCTTGCAAAGTTATTGGTCCTGTCAACAGAAGCATGAGGGATTTTGAGATTGCCTTTTTTAAACTTGCTAGGATTCTTTGATTAGTCCTAAGTAGAAACTGTCTCAACATTTTAAACTCCCCACAGGTCAGAGTTTTGAGATTTATAAATAAAAATCTCCACTTTAATTGTTGGGCTAATACAGTGGATCCCTTTCGATATTTAGACTTAGCCATTAGTCCATACTCCATAGCTATTTATACCCCCTGTGTTAACTAGAAACTACTCCTCAAAAAGCCGCTGGTGGGCGTATGCTCGTTGCCTGACAACGCAATGCTATCTTCATGGCGTTTTATATACCAATCACTCACAGTTTGGGGGTGAGTAACTTGACCCACATGCCCATTGGCCTAACAATATCCTTCAATGATAGGGTGACCCGCGCAATGAAAATTTTCCCCTACAGAAAGTTGAACTCGACACTGTGAATGTGCACGCTTTCAGTGACTTGTCTCGAAGTGATTTCTCGCTAACTACGCAGTATGATAAATGAAATGAAATGAAATGGGGTTTAACATCCTACTGTTCTGCTCCTATCTGGGCTAATGAAGACGGGCATACGCCATACAGTGTGCTATGAGGGAAATTTTGGCCGGGCAGCGGCACTATCGCCTACTTTTATATCGAATTCCAACTGCCAAGGGATCATTTACGTGCATTCCAATGTATACACGGGACCTCGGTTTTTCGTATCGTCCAAAGGACTAGACAGCTGTCCTTGTCAGGCCCTCCGTCCTGCATCACTGAAAAGGAGGAACCACGCCAGAAAATCTGAATAAACTTTCTCGGCCAATGCAGGGATCGAACTCCTGACCTCCAGGCTAGCGAGCCAGCGTCTTACCCACTTAGCCACACCAGTATGATAATAATCAGTGCTAGAGTCTATGAGACTAAATAGCCATCGCACGTGCAATAATTATCAACTATCAACTTCTACAGCCATAAAAAATTTATTGTTGACGATCCTGAATAGCAGTTATATTTAGCTGTTTGGCTATTACAGCAGTTTTAGAAATTACCTTCATTTTATTTTTTAAATTGCTTTATCATTAACTGTACCGTTAGGAGCGGCATCTTTTGGTTTAGTACAAATAATATCTCTAAAACACTTGCATTAGGCGGAGAACGTGATACTAGCAGTAGTTTAATTTTACTTTTACAAGGTTCTTAAAACAATGTTGAGTTGCCTAACGTGCGTGTTTCTAAATTCAATTTATTGTTCCAGCTTTCTGTCATGTTTCGTAAAATAGTAGTCTTGATTATCCCAGCCTGTCAATCAGACGTAGAATGGTCGGTAGACTGGTTAAGCGAGAGTAATTTCAAAACACGGGCACGTAACCTATTTTTTACTCGCAAAGGCCCGGATATTATGGTCGACACTCGTAACCATCTTTCAGTGTATTATTTATGGATGGTTAAATGGCCATAGCTTATTAAGTACAACGTGGCCGTTTATTTAGTGACCATAAATGTGGAAAACTGATTTAAGGCTTGGTGTATATATAAATATTGTGGTGTAATTGTCGAAATATTTGGAGATATTGTTTATGGTGGGTCACCCTATCAATGACTGAAGATGGAATTTGCATTTATAATATTGTAGCAGAAGATGCTGCTGCCGCACAGAGTGGACTGTGTTGTGGATTACTTATCTAATATAAACAAAAAACCGCCCCCTTTTTTCTTACCAAAAATGATTTTTGAATCAGAAGTAGATTTGGTTTGGTTTTATGTATTATCAATTCGATACCAACATTAAATTTATATCCAATATTTTAATTTATATTTTCATTTTATTCAGTTGCAAAAGTCTTGTGCGGTTTTACCTTGAGAAATTTAATTTGAGTCATGTACTTTATAGAATAGCTTAGAGTCACTATCGTTATCATTTTATTTGAAATGAGTGAATGTAACTATGCTGTATACATTGTTATATATATATATATTTTATATTGTGGATGGATAATTGTTATATTGTATTATTATTATTTGTTATAAAATAGAATATATTAAAAACAAAATTCAGATACTTTCCCTTTAATATAACCCATGTTGCGGTAGGGCCTGCGAAATCGATGTTACCACAGTTCGGGTAGATGGAACAGCATTACTATCCAAATTCACGCCTATCCCAAAGAGGCTTGACCTGTATAGACAGCTTTAGATGGGAGGAGTGGAGGCTCGCTTGTCAATCCTGGATGTACCATATTGACGGTGTTGCGTTTGAGTGACACAAAATTGAACTCGGCAATTCAAAAGCATAATAGCGTTAGCACATTTTTATACACCGACATATTATTGTCCTCACCACTGTCCGTCCACAATTCTCATCCGAATTTGATGAAACTAGAAATATATTTTAAAAAAAAGCATTCGAATATATCACTGTTACACCGTAATGTCGGTGGAGCAGGAATTTCGTGAAAATTGGACCAAAACTGCGGGACAAAATGGACGCCCCTCGTACACACATAGTGTAAAAATATAGTATATCAAAGTTGTGGACCCTCTAGACGTCACAATTTTGATCCGATTTTGGTGAAATTTAAAAAAAAACTTGTTTATACCCCCCTCCCCTCCCCGGATCCGCCCCTGGGATAGTTGATTATTAATCCATTAAAAACTAAAATATTGTATCGGACCAATTCCGTTCAACATTTACAAAGATACGACGAATTGAAACTTTCGGCATTCTCAGTATGGATATTGACAAAACAGCCGAAAAGTAAAATGTATATTATTAAATATACAGCTTTATAATCGGCAATCCCTCCACCCCCTGCTCAGCTACATAAAGTGTAACGTGTGCTTTATCCTTTATCATCAGATGATGGGATAGGATGGACATTGAAAGCCTAGATAATGATATAGATGTCATATCACAATTAATGCTTTGCATCAATAAAATTCAATCACAATGTGATCCTATTAATTCATTACAAAAACTGGCGTTAAAAAGCATAGTGTGATGCTAACGTGTTTTGGAGACGAAGATGTCATGCATTGTCAACTGTCAAATTTCCTGAACAGGAGCTAGCAAACCCCTCCTGCATAAAATTCCTGGATCCGCCCCTGCATCTCGTAAATGACACCCAGAGACTTTATACAGTACCGTGATTGCCGATTATAAAGCTGTATATGTATTTAATAATATACATTTTACTATAAACTATGGACAACACGTGTGCTCGTTCACGAAGCAGAAACATTGCCGGTATTGATTTCAAGTCCCGCGTTAACGTATAATGTGTAGTTAATGTTAGAATGTCAATAAATATAAGAATATGTTCGTTTATTTTCATTTGACTTTGTTAATTTAACCTATATTGCAGACTATAATTTGTATCGCGTTGATTTAGTGACTGGACGCCTGATCCCAATCAGTTTTACAGAGGTACTAGCGAATATTCACTGCTGATCAGTGTGGCTTGGCCCCACATGGTGAGTATCCATTGTCGCACAGCGACCTATTTCAAATTCTGGACACTACTTTTCAACAACAGCCCATAGGGTAGGGAATGGCGATATTTTTTCACCCCTTCAAAACGGCTGCGTATTGGGGACAGTAAATTACTGATTTTGAAAGAAGGGTTCAACGACTAGAAAAGAAGGAGCCACGGTGGGTAAGGCGTTGGCTCTCAAGCCTGGAGGTCGCGTGTTCAATCCCTGCATTGGCCGAGAAAGTTCATTGGGATTTTCCGACGTGGTTTCCCCTTGTCAGTGGTGAGGGCTGGACAAGGACGGCTGTCTTGTCGTACGCATGGGATGAAAAACCGAGGTCCCGTGTATACATTAGCGTGCACGTAAAAGACCCTTGACAGTTGGAATTCGATATAAGAGTAGGTCATAGCGCCGGGCAAAATTTCACTCACAGCACACTGTATGGCGTATTCCCGTATTCATTAGCTCAGTATAGGAACATAACAGTAGGACATTTCATTTTTATTTCAGAAAAGAAGAATCACGCGGGTATGCATATTTCTGTCCACGATTTTCGTAATAGAATTCGGGTTACTCCGCTGCGGACTGATGACGTCGTTCGGCATTTTACACGATGGATCCCATTGCTGGAGCCATCCCTACGTATGATACATTAAAATTTGATTGTATTTGTTGAAGCGAACATCGAAGTTTGTTGTAGTTATCTTACTTAGTTATAGGCCAGAAGCTGTCCTACATTTTTTATGACTTTTTGTTCCACCCATCGGCCCTGTTGCTAAAACTATTTTTAAAATTTCAATAAAGTTACCAAGTTGCCGAAATGAGCTCATAGGCGCAAAAACTGGAAAACAGATATCCACGGTGGCCTTTTGGTGCCATACGTTAATATATACCCTTTTCTTGTATTTTACCTTCCATAAGAAATCGCAGTGAAAACTGTAAACCCTTTCTCCGCAGTATAACGTTTTCTCCGCGGTGTTAACCCTTTCTCCGCGATATAAAGTTTTCTCCCCGGAGTAAACCTTTCTCCGCGGTATAAACATTTTCTCCGCGGTATACAGAGGTAAGCGTTTTCACCGCGGTGTAAACTTTTTCTCCGCGGTGTAAACTTTTTCTTCGTGATATGATTTTTTCTTCGCGGTGTAAACCTTTTCGAGGCGATGGATCTGTAGACACTCGAAACCATGCACTAATTCTTGCGCCCGTGGGCAGTATACTATAGTATACATCATGCTCATCGACTTTCCTGGCAACGGTGATGACCATTGACCCGGATAATAAAGATGCACGACGTCAAATGGAAACACAGTGGCATCACAGGAATACCATTCGCCCTATTTCGCCATCAGATACGCGTCAGATGTATGATATTGGCAGAACAGTATATTACAACATGTTCAGACAATATCGTTATCTAATATGACAGGATTTTTTATCGATTGCACTGGAACAAACACATTTTTAATTCTTTTTTGTAAAGTGGTATGTGTTTGACATAACAAAAAATATTAATGATTGTGAGAATAAAGTAAGCATTACCGTTTATAGGAATAACGTCACGTTTAGTTTGTATCTGGATGTGTTTACTAATTCAGGTACAGTATTAACCACGCTTACATCGGAGTCTTTAAAATAAACCTATAGGCCTACCCAGGCTGCAGGCGGAAGTTAAAGGTACATCAGCAACTCTGGGATCTTCACTGTTTCAAGACATTTTTAATTTGACTTGATTTGACTATTAGTTACATTGGCGTTGTTCGAATTAGAATCCATACTCAACTTGAGACAAAACAAATATGTTAATGTTTTATAAGGGGTCTAAGGAATGCTCGTAAAAGTCCAAATCTAACCATTCAGTAGGACCCAAGTCGCGAATTCGCTAAATAAAATACTGAAGACCAGGATTTGAGTTAAGTAACTATATATAATATTCATAACCAAGTGAGTGGTTTGTCAGCTTTTCTTACTGGTGATTTATCATGTTACGCTACATTTTTATTGCAGATATACTATAACCTACTTAGATAAGGCGACAACAGTTTAATACAGGCTGGTCGATGTGAACAAGAGCTACACCAATAACTGGTTATTGGAAGCATATAACGAGTAAAATATATTGGACATAAAAACAGACTTGAGACGTATGTAGCCTACTATATTACAATCTGGCGTAACATTTGCATTTAAATAGCTTCTGCACTGTCAAGGTTAATCGCACGCGGTTGTGAATTGGAGCTTCGTGCCCTATATATTCGTGACATTTAGATACTGCTGTTTAAACTGAAAGCTGATCTTAATTCATGCCATTTATCAAGTGATATTAACGCTATTCAAAGTGAAGAACCCTGCCTCGTGTCTTAGAAATAAATAAACAATGTCCGAAGCATTGTTTCCGGGACGAAACCAAGCACCTGGGCTGAAATCTCCAAATAAACTATGGTGGGCTAAAGAGATCACTCCAGATATTCATATTGCTGGCAGATTAACGTCTCGACAAATTAAATACGCAGAGGATGGGGGATTTCGGAGTGTCGTTTCGCTGTTTTCGTACAATTCCCAGGGTAAATTTGGTAACGATATTTTACCAACCACTGCAGAAATTTTTGAAATGATCAAGACAACTAGTAATCTCCAATTTAAAGCAATTTTTGATACAGAGCAACATGAAAATTGGTCTCCCAAAGAGGCTGTAGATAAATTAGAACAAATGTTACCAACATTAAACAAACCGGTACTCCTGTTTTCCCAGAAAAGTTGCTCGGCTGCGTTTGTTGTTCTGCTATATTTAGCCAAAAAAACAAAGGAGGATCCTGATTTCGAAGCCAGGATTAACAGTGCGAGATTATTTAGGATAACAGCCACAATGGGCATGGATTTTACGTCCGATTATTACAAACAAATTGTTAGCGAAGTAACTGGAGAACCCAAACTTGAAAAGCCACCGGTTCCTAATATTGAGCCAAAATCATGGATCGAGTATTGGTTAGCTCATCCGGTCTACAAAAATTGGTTTACAGCAGGTCAAATAACCAAACCTGTTTTTCCATCCGTGGAATCTGCTGGTTTTCCTGCTGTAGTTAATGTGAGATCGGGAAAAACGTATAACGGAAATCCGAATCAAGAGGAGGTGACTCTGGTCAACATTCGGGAAAATACAGGCACATACGGCAAGGAAGTAAAGAAACTCAGACAATCCAAAGACAGGCTTGAAGATACACGAATAGATCCACTAAAACCAAAACGTTATGTTTCTGAAAATTCTGACAGAAACTATGAAAGTCGAAATGAAAATGATTTTGGAGATGATATCGGTTATAATGAAGAAAAAGAAAGAGACTATTTCATGGAATATGGAAAATTGCAATATTTGCATTTACCTATAGGTTAGTATAGAATTAAAATGGGAATATGTAGGCCTAAACGAGAGAGAGAGAGAGAGAGAGAGAGAGAGACGTCCACTCGACACAAACTAGGTCATTTCGACTAACATAGGGGTCTTCAGCTGTGGGAAGACAAATAGAAAACCCACGGGATTGTACATGCGACCCTACTCCTTGTCACGTACAACTGGAGAACCGAAACCACGCTAGTTAATCAATGACAGACCTTATGATAGAACGCGCACGCTCTAACCATTCGGCCATCCACCCCCCCCCCCCCCCGTGATTTGATCTCTGTGCTGGTCGATATAGTTCCCCGGGTTTTTAATCAGCGTGCTTTCTCTTGTCAGTGGTGCAGGGCGGGGAGGGGGGGTGGGTATGCCTGTCTTCATTGGTGCAAAGAATTAGGACTATAAACCCCATTTCATGTTATTCAATGTTAAATATTAAAGTATCACGATTAATTATGTGAACTCATCAAATTAGAAGTGGTATCGGGTGTTTTAGACAAGCTGGCACAACCGACCAACTACTTAGTGCCGCGTCTTTTAACGTGGTAGTAATTTTTAATAGACAATATATAATTGCAATAGTACTTTGGTTGAATGTAATTAACCTTATATCCTGCCTTCTCCAGTTTCAGCTGCACCGTTCACTAAAGAAGTCTATGAAACTTACCGCGATAGGTTATTGGAACTGGGAAGTAAGGGACCGGTGTTGGTTCATTGCGCCAAGGCTAGAAGAGCTGGTAGGTGTAATTTATATGACTATTGTACTTTTTTACTATCGAGGAATACTATGGCTCGGTAACACCATTGATGACTACAGCAACGTTAAACACTTGTAGTCAAATGTTAGTTCGATATGTAATCATCAAGGGGTTATTTTAAGCACAAATTAGGTCCAACACAAAATTAATCTTACAAATTCCCCCCCCCCCACCCCCTCTAAACGCTATTAATATTCATACATTGTTCATACAAGCATGATGTTCATGATTTTTGTAGTAGGACGTTAAACCCCATCTCATTTGTTCATCAAGTTGACCTGGACTATGAATATCTTTGTGAATAAGTAAACACAATATCTTATATCAGTACCCATGTATATATCAATTTAAAACGATCTCATATTCGTTTTACCTATATTTTCTCCTATTGCAGGATTCTTGACCATCCTTGCTGCTGCCCAGCAGCATAACAAAGATTTAGCCTGGGCGTTACGTAGGAGTCGTGAGTTGGGATATGGTGTATCAGAGGAGACAAACCCAGTTGTTTATGAAACGTTTGTTGGGGTTCTTGGTACAGATTGCTCCGACGGTGACAGGGATTAGGTTCAAGGAATATTCAAATAACTATTTCAGTTGCAGTTTCGAAGTTGACAAGAACTCATAGCCGTGGATTTAAAACATGACTGTTTATAACTTTAATGTTTCGACGAAGTTCCCTAGCCATCCTCTGAAAATAGAAGATTTACGAAACGTAAATTAGAAAATTGACGATACTATATTTTAATCACTTACATTTATCAATAAATGATAAGTTTAGTATCTATACAATTACAACAATAGTATGGCCTCGTGAACATCTTCAAACGAGACGTAGTGTCAGATTTCTAGACAGAGCATAAATTTACTTATTTTGTGTATGGTCTATTTGTATTTCCAAATATCTAATTCTTTAAATATATCATACTAGCAGGATACCCGGCTCGGGGATCATACCTCCGAAACCGGAAGTGGTAGACTAACGCCACCTGGCCTATGTTACTCCCCGGTCGGAGCTACCCCTATACCCCAAATTTCAGACTCGGGGCAGACCTAGTGTAGCCGTCAACCCCGCTTCGCTCGGGGGCCATAACTCCGAAACCGGAAGTGGTAGACTAACGCCACCTGGCCTATGTTACTCCCCGGTCCGAGCTACCCCTATACCCCAAATTTCAGACTCGGGGCAGACCTAGTGTAGCCGCCAACCTCGAACAGACAGACAGACAAACGACAGTCACAAATATTAGGATATAGATAGATACGCTGTAGCAATGTCCACAGAGACATGTCCAATCCACAAATATACATGGATATGGATATTTCCGTATCCTGGCTTTCATCCGTGGCAACTGTTAAAATTTTGAAAGAATCGTAAAACTGTGCTATACACAACCCTGTTCATAAACGGTCTTAACATGGGTCAGTCATCAAGTAATAATTTTGAGTCAATGCGGAAATAGTCACAGTGCCCAACCAATCGAACCCTGTTTTACAAACTAGAGATCAATACGTAGGCCGACAGGCATACAAAATTAAACTTTAATAAGGGAGTCTGCTCGAGTAAATTTGGGTAGGGAGCGGGTGGTGCTTATGTTAACGAAAATGACAGTTACCGACGAATATTACGTTTCCTGTATTTTCGAAGTTGTACTACATTGACATCGGGCATATTTCAAATCATTAAATGAGATGTAATGTCAGGCATAGATTATGAAGGGGACGGAATTATAATGCACATATAAGATGTTACAAGACGGGCAATGGACAACAAAACAATTATTTAAGCATGCAGTGGTTACACCGTCGATTAATCATGAAGTTCCATATAAATGTACTTTTCACTGTACTCCCACCTCGAATGAACATATTATTCATGTACATGTACATTGTCTCAAAGTTCTATTGCAGGGTCGGATTCAGGGTGGTTATTACAGCCAGCGAAGCAAGCAACCGTTGCTAGATTCATGGACAGAGCTACTGATGGGCCAGTAGTATAGCTAGCGAAAAATGGGCTTTAGCATTACACCAGGGTTCATAAATTGTATGCCACATGACTAAAATTTTCAAATCTGAACATTTGTGTTTGGATATTGAGCTCCCATTTCTGACTTTATCACAACATATTCCGTTGCATTGCACGAATCTGAAAAAACACGAAGGACGATGTCAATTCTATGTAAATCCAATTGTACACCATGATCTAAGAATTTGGGCTGATACGTCTAGATCATATTACAAGTTTGCAAGATTTAAGTTACAAAATATGAGCATGTCTTACAATGAGTATAATATAGTAACATGGCCGAAAAGCTCCTTGGGGTGGAAAGACCTTTGTATCTGTTCTTGACCATGTAATACTGAAGGCAGAAGTTATCGCTATCTGCGTTGCACCACATTGTCACCCTTAACTGAATCAATGGCATAAAACCCCGACCAATTAGTGATTAATAATGACCTGGAGGTCCCATGTTCCCCCATGTCACTCAGTGGTGTAGGACGGGGGTTGTGGCAAGGGACGACGTATAGTCATTCGGGTGGGACGAAAAACCGAGGTCTATGTAAACATTGGCGTGCACTTAAAGGAACCCTTCAGAGTTGGAATTCGATATGCAAGTAAGAGTTGGCCGTGGCACCGCTGTCCGGGCGAAATTTCATTCAGAGCACATTGCATGGCGTATGCCAGTCTTCATTAGCCAAGTAGGACGTTAAACCCCATTTCATTTCATTTCATTTCTTTCACTGTCCGAGGAGTGGGGCAATTAAACAATAAATGTTGTTATGTAGGTGCCGGTCATTGTTTCGGTTAGTGTACATGGTTCAAGGGAGTATATAATAGATTTAAAACTATTGTCTGAACCGTCGTAAATTTTAAACGGGTTTGTTCGATTACGAACAAACTACGTAAGATTTGTTATTATAAACCTACTTGTGTATATGAAGTCAACTCCCCTTGAATAAAGTCCATTGCACAATTAATATCCCAACAAAAAAAAAAGTTATCTCTTGAAAAATTGAATTCCCACAATCTGATTAAAACACAGATCCTAATTCGTTTCGATTTTTATAGGTCAAAATTTCGTTTTACTTGTCTATACTACAATATATAATATCTGGAAGAGTTGGTATATTACCGGCGTTCTGGTTGAAGTGAGGGATTAGCCAGTGAAACGGTCTGTTACGGCGAGTTCTAGGCGTGCGATGCACGGAACTGTGGCTAAACCACTAGAAACGTCAACGCTCATTGATTAACTAATGTCTGACGTCATAGAGTCAAAAGCCGTTCGTACGATCCCTGACGCGACCTTCCAGTACAACCAGTCAGATCTTCGTGTAGTGTAGGCCATCAAAAGTATAAAAAGACGAAATGAAATGCATGTATATAGATCTGTATTTTAATCAGATTGTGAATTCCCACAAACTTCTGACCATCCTCGGTAACCCCAGTGGTTTCATTCCGTTCTACTCCACTAAGTCAACTGGCGGGGTTTCGATTCCCCGGTTGTACGTGACAAGGAGTAGGGTCGCCTGTCCAACCTCGTGGGTTTTCTCCGGGTCCTCCGGTTTCCTCCCACCGCTAAAGACCCCTACGCGCAAGCGAATTATGGAAATAAAATTTAACCATATATGTAGTCCCGAAATGACCTAGTTTGTGTCGAGTGGACGTTAAACCACATTTCTCTCTCTCTCTCTCTACTCCACTAACCCCCTGGGTTAATCTCATAAGTCGTTAATTGCAAAGGAAGTTGGCAAAGGGAAGTAACTCTCAACGGACAAGGCTAGGAGTTAGCCTACATGAGAGAAGTTCAAATTATACAAATATAATATACTCTTGAAAAAAGTATGGATATTCAGAAACAATACAAAACTGCGGAAATGCACTGCTGTTTTTATTAGAGGTAACCAGTGTATGTTAATAACAGGCCAATTGCCTACACATCAACATAAACAGTTCATATGGGCGGCTTATCTGACGGCAAAGAGATACACTGTCAAAAGTGAAAATGGACGTTTTTAATTTTTGTCTAACTACATGAGTTATTGCTCCACCAATCCTCAGACATTCAGCAATTCGTCGTTGCATGCTCCCAATCAACCATCCAATAACGATTTGGGGCAATCTGGCCCACTCCTTTTGCAGTGCCACGGCCAATTCTTGCAGTGTTGTCGGTTGACGTTGACGTCGACGAACACGCCTCCCGATCAAATTAATCGTAACACACTAAAGCAAAGATACGCTAAACAGTAAATCGTATCCAAAAACCGATAGGAAAGCAGCACGCGGCAGTTTTCATCAACTCTTCCTTGAAGTGTCAAAAAGGACAATAAACCTCTCCCACGTGTATGGCGCTATTGCGCGTCGCATGTGCAGCTCAGTGGTTCTGTTGGGGCGATAGGTTCTTCATCTGTGAACATACTCTCAAAGCATGTCAAATGTCCATGACAATTTATCCTATCGCAACCTGCATAGGTATTTGCATTTCAATATCCCCTACTTTTTTGAAGGGTATATTATATTACTGAAAACCGTGCGTTTTTGTAGTTTCAAGAATTTTATTGACAATCGTTCGTTCGTGGTATTTTAGGTTCACATGATATCGTAGACAAGTTATTGTGAATGTCTGAAATAGCTTTATTTAACGTCCGCTTCCACCGAGGTGAATCAAATTGCCAAGTATAAGTTCAATAATAATAAACATAACAGAATGAAACATTTCAAACAAAGAACGAATGGTAATAATAATAACAAAAGTCAAACATATATATGTTATACATTTTTGAAATCAGCGAAACATACTACAGATTTTGATAATACAATTAAATATAAATGAATTAGAAATATATACATTACTTACATGAAGCATTCAGTATCTGGACTTGAATATGGTTATCTACCCTTATAAAAACGGTGGCGACACGACAGGTTTGTAAACTATTTTTTGATTGGTTCGTAGACTATAGCTATAATCAATGCCAGTGCAGATAATTTGAAATCGTGGAAACCCTATGGATTAACTCTGTCAAAATTAAACCACTCCCATAATAGTTTTTTTTTTTGGTTTCGCCCAACACGTGACGAAAGCAATGTTGTTTTGCACTCAGTCGAAAATATAAGTAGATACGTCAAAATTTTCAAGAGAGAACTTTTTTATTCGTTGGTATATTTAATCGTGCAATGGATTTTATTTATCGGGATTTGATTTCAAACCAACAGTTAACTTTATAATAACCAAAGTTAAGTAGTTTGTTTGTAATCAATCCGGTTAAAACAGATCCTATTTCGTTTCGTTTTTATAGTTCAAAATTTCGTTTTACTTGTCTTTACTACACTTGGATCTGGGAGAGTTGTTATTTAACTCGTGAATGGTGTCAGGGATAAGCCAATGAAACGGTCTGTCACGGCGAGCTTTAGGCGTGTTTTGCACGGAACTGTGGGTAATCCACTAGTAACATCAATGCTGATTCGTTAATCAAATGTCTGACATCATAGGGTTATAAGTCGGTCTTTTGACCCCTGACGTGACCTATCGCTATAACTTGTCAGATCTTCATGTAGTGTAGGCCATCGAAAGTATAAAAAAACGAAACGAAATATTTTAATCAGATTGGTTCGTAATCGAAGAAATTCGTTTAAAATTTACGACGGTTCAGACAGTTGTACGAAGTACGAAGATTACCTTGGAGCAGTAACTGTTTGTCTGGTTAATAATTTGAAGCCCAGAAACTGTAATCTTAAAATAACAGAAATATTTTGTTGACAACATTTAACTTTCCTTGAATTAAGCAGATCGATGTAAGACCTTTAAACATTTTAACTTCAACTAGATAACTAGGCCTAAATTTAACCCTGTATAAATAAAAATGATTCTGCAGATATGTGAATGGATATAGGTTACTCACAGCTATTTTTAAATCTGTATACAATACATTGGCCATTATCTGGCCTATGCTTTGCATTGTAAAGTGCATCGGATACGGGCATGTTAGCACGTAATAGTATAAATTTGTACTGCAATAATACAGTTTACATGCATAAGTATATGGACGATGATATAAAATTGTATCTATTGTATTCTAACCACCGTGCACGGATCATAAGTGAATATTGATTTTTATAGTTCGAACTGATGTTTTCCGGTGAATTACAATTACATAATTCGTAGTCATCCATATTAGAAAATGTTTAATCGAAGAGCCATAAGATCGTTGGAAAGTTTAGCTGGCATGATCTGCAATACCAGAAAAAGTTTATATGTAATTAGCTACAGTACGTGTTCCAGGCGATGTTTTAGCCGTAGTTCTAATTACAACAGACCAACAGATACCCTAGGTAATTAAAGGTTATTGTTCTTTTTTGAGACACCCCCTCCCCCTCCCCCACACACAAACTAGGTCATTTCAGGAATAATATTTGATTCAATTTTATTTCAATAATTTGCTTTGCGCGTAGCCATATGTAGCAGTGGGAGGAAATCGACCTGACAGTTCTCGCTATAATAATTTAAAAATAGGTAATGATAACAGAAAATGTTTTCAATCAAATTGCTTCACTCTGAACCAAGATATTAGCGATTCAATTTTAGGCTAGCCTCGATTGGTACGATAATAAACAAAGTCTAGGTTATCCATTTTTACGTTAAATTGTCCATCACAAAATGTATTCAAATCCACTAAATATCGGAGGCTAACGATGGCATTGAGAGTTGATTATGGTGTGGATAAGTTAATTAATGCCTAATTAATAATTTAGTTAACATTTCAAAGACCTGCAATAGGCAGATTTAGCTCTTGAATGTTTAACTAAGAAATATTGACAAACCTAGTTCAAGTTCGAAATACTTCGCGATCTCTTGGAGATAAAGTTTCATTAAAATTGTCCACACGTTATTTTTTTCGCATTTTCACTATACCAATGGGGAGGACAACTATCATTCAAATTCGAAAACGAATAATTCACCTATTGGACCCTATCTAAGATACTATTCACATAAAGGCACATACCCAGTTCCATGTTGGAGTGACCATAGTTTACAACATGTTGGTGTTCAGCTGGTGTGTTGATGAATTTATATTTTACTTCTTGGTTATTCCTTGCAGAGCATCATAATGAACCTGGTCTTAAGTCGCCATTTAAATTGTGGTGGGCCAAAGAAATCACACCCGATATCCACGTTGCAGGAAGGCTAACAGCGCGACAAATCAAATATGCAGAAGAGGGGGGATTCCAGAGTATTGTCTCACTGTTTACACACGGATCTCAGAAAAGATTGGGTGATGACGTTTTGCCAAGCACAGAAGAAACTTCAAAAATGATCAATTCGCTATGTAATCTTCAATTTAAAACAGTTCTTGACACCGAGAAGCGGAAATCTTGGAATCCTAAGGCTGCTGTAGACGAACTAGAACATATTCTAACAGGATTAAAGAAACCAATCTTACTTTTTTCGGAAACAAGTCGAGCTGCTGCCTTTGTAACACTTATGTATATTGCAAAGCAAACAAAGGTCAATTCAGATTTCGAAACTCCCCTCAACAGTGAAAGATTCTACCGTATTGGGGCTAGCATGGGTATGGATTTTACCTCGGATTTCTACAAAAAAATTGTTAGTGAAATCACTGGAGAACCAATAGTTCACATTCCATCAGCACCAAATGCAGAACCAAGGTCTTGGATAAAGTACTGGCAGGCTTATCCGGTTTACAGAAACTGGTTTACTGCTGGCCAAATGATCAAACCAACATTCTCGGTCGTCGAAGAAGCTGGATTTTCTTCTATCGTTAATTTAAGAGCGGGGGTCACCTTTTGTGAAAATCCAAGCCAAGAAGAGGTGACACTGCTAAATATAAAGGAGGGCACTGGAACTTATGGCACAGAAGTAAATAAGCCTCGGCAAAACCTGGAAAGGCTTAAGGAAACGAGAATCGATCCCCTAAAATCAAATCTGTATATTTCTAAAACTTCTGATAAAAACTATGAAAGCCGTAATGAGGACGAATTTGGAGACGATGTTGGTTATAACGAAACAATAGAAAGGGATTATTTTAAGCAGTATGGAAAATTCCAATATTTACATTTACCCGTAGGTAAGTATAGAATAATATATGTAGAAAATAAATTCATCTCCATCCTGAAGTCCACATTGATCAAATCTTTTCATCACAAACACAAACCCGCGACGCATTCAATTATGAACGGTATCTTGATTGATCCAGTTTAGGTTTGAGCCAGGTTTGACTAAGTGCATGTTTAGTTGATTATTTGCTGCTCTGATCCAATGGACTGTAGACAGATCGACGAATAGAGTCCATTGGCAAATGGCCTGAATTGAGCGTGAAGCAGAGTTTTCCTACTCTTTCCGAAATACCAGATACTACCGAATAACGGAAATGCCAGAAATATTGCCCTGGTGAAGTCCACTTACCATTACGCCATTTTATTTTATTGTATTTCCTTTATTGTACTATATTTTATCTGTACAGCTAGTAAACGTTACATATATAATATAGAAGTCTTTTAAAGGGGCATTATGGAAGATTAGATAAAGAGCTGGCAGTTCTCACTAATAGTTACGAACTAGATAATGTAAAATTGCTCCACTCTGAACCGAGATATTACCAATTGAATTTTAGGCCTTGCCTCGATCATCATTACTAAAGTCGGTAGGATAAAAACCATAGTCTCGATTATCCACTTTTGGATGTAATCATCAATGAGCGTTCAGCAGCAGATCGGATTCAAATCCAGTGAAAATCCGACACATAAGATAGTATCGAGAGTTGACTAAGGTCTTTTCATGTTAATAAATATCTAATAGTTTATATAACATTTCAGGCCCAAAGAAAGACCTGCAATAGGCAGATTTTGCTCTTGCACAACGTATGTTTAAGTACACCATTACACAATACTCTCAATGAATATAGTCATGGTTTGGATATTTTTTAACATCATTTTCGATTCCAAAAATTGACACTGATATCCTATCTTGTATTATAGACGGTTGTCAGATAATATAGACTAGGTTAAATAAAGCTTGTGGTCAAAATTCAAAGGTGGTTGCAAAGTTGACATGATTTGTGCTAGGCAGGGCCTTATCAGTGCTGATGATGTTGGTTAAACCGCCTTGGTCAGAATGTCAGTTAAAGTTAGATGTAAGTTCTGTATACGTGTTTTCTTCCTTAGCTATAAACAAACCCATCACTACAGAAGTCTACGCACGTCACCGAGATAGTCTGTTAGAAATGGGAAGAAAGGGACCGGTCTTAGTTCACTGTATCAAGGCCAGAAGAGCTGGTAGGTTTGATGTTGTTGTTGTTGTCATAGATATCCATACATCGTGGCTGAATTAAATTGATTTCGTTGGTTTCAGTACTGTCAGTTGGAAGTGAATATTTACAACAATTTATATCATTTATCGTAGAGAATTTAAAATTTGGGATAAAATAATTCATGTATACCGTACTAATAAGCATATAAGATTATATACACTCCAGTTGAACTCTGCATATTTTAATCTATAGATAAATTGCTTGGTTCGCAGATTGCACATTTAAGATACAAGTGTTGTTAAAAATCGTGATTGGATGATGATAAATGCCATTACGAGTCAACAAATGGAATTGGGGACGTTTATGGAGGAGGGGGGGTAAACCCACCACATCGTAGACCTACCTCCAAAAATTGTTCGTCGAACACAGGCACTGACCTCGTCTGTACAGACTCTGGCACAATTTAATTTACTGTACATAACCCGATTGTTTTGCCTTGAATATTTACCGCGCTTTTTGTAATGTCACTAATATAAGCTAATATAATATCAATCAAATTTCAGGATTGTTATCTATTCTTGCTGCAGCGGAACAGTATGATAAAGACTTGACTTGGGCGTTACGTAGAAGTAGAGAATTGGGCTATGAAGTATCAGAAGAAAAAAGTCCAACGGTTTATGAAATATATTTGAATGTTCTAGGACGACATGGTTCCACTGATGTATAGATAATCTCTGGTGATAATCTTTACTCTGACATAATAACTGATTGTGCACACATTATTGCACTATACGAGAAAGGTTTGCAACTACATGTCATATTTTATCATGATTTATAATTAGAAGACTAAAGGAATTAAAATATGGATTGCTTTCGGCAGATATATGCTCATTTTATTGTAAACTATACACTGCATACAGTCCTTAAGTTTCGTCAATAAGATCCTACTCCATCAAGAATTTTTCGGCCAGATTTGGTTCAAATTATACCCGTATGGGTGATTTTCTATTACTGAGAGAATGCTATCGTTGCTAAGGAAAATGTATCATTTTTACTAGCATGTATTACCTGGTAACGTGAATAAACCAGTCCAAATCATACAGTATCATAAAGCCAGTCTACATTAATTTTAACCAGACTAGCATCTTGGGTTTTGCTGTCGTTAACATTTCACATGCCGTGGTTATTGTTTATTATATCATGAGGTTGTTCAATACATCATATACAAAAATCCCACCGAATGAACGAACAGTTTCGCATTATTCCCTCATTTATATGTTGAATTTTAAAGACTGCAAATTTTAATGATCTACTACATTTGAAATTCAAAATCCGTTGTTAGTATAAAGTAATCCCCCTGTTTATTATCATGTACAAATGACACAAGAGTTTTCTGGTTTTAATCTTTTCAATGTCAACACCTGAACAACATGAAAATGGCTAGAGCCTTTAATAGTTTTAGTTCATTAAAATTTAGGCCTGTCCCGCCTGTACCGAAAACATTTCTTTGAGCATGCTTTATAGTTCTCTTGAGAGTAGCTTTAACAGTCCAAGGGTAATCATAAGGGGGACCTTTCCAATGTCCACTTCCCAAAACGTTTTGCTCCTACAGGGCTAATATAGACGGGATTTCTACAAACTGAACACCATGGCTAAGATTATCTGAGATTAACACAAATTCGTGTGTCGCCGCTTTATGGAGTATTAATACAATAACATAAATACAATGAAATGATATTAATTTTGTTTTGCACACCAGTGTGTACCTTGGATTCTCCCTCGCATAATAAGAGTAAAATTTGTAAAGAAATCCATTACGGATAAAACCTCGCCTTCCTTCAAATCTGTTTTTAAATAGCTCGCATTACTTAAAATTGTGTTGCCACTGTGTAATGGATATGCGGGAGGATATTTGGGCCAAAATAGTCAAAAACGATGATCATGCGCGCATAGAGGTCAAGATCGTGTGTGTGACGTACCAGTGTCAACAGAGCACAGTAACCTTGTATCTTTCAGAACTAGCAATTACTGTACATACCAGATATAACTCGTATTTTGAGTTCACAGCATGAAAACAATTAGTGCATGCTATCATCTAAATTCAAACAGTTTGGAGATAAAAGTTTTACTCTTGCCAAACGACATAACAATTTACTTCAACATATTCGCTGCACAAAATCTCACAATTACAAACTTAATTATTGTTCAAACAAACTAATGTTATAGGCTAAATTGAACAGGGTATATTATAGTTTTAAAGGAGATTTCAGCCGTTAAATTTACGTTGAATTTTTATGATGTCAATGCATCTTCACATTGCAAATTTCTTAATGTGAAAAATCACAAATATTACCACAGGATTGTTTTAACTAGATTTACTAGATGCTTCTGTTCATCTGAGAAAAGATATGGAACTAGTCAAAGCAAACCCAGAGTTATCTCCCTTTTAGTAGTTCTCGACAGATTTCGGGTTGAACTTTTAATGTAAAACACAGATGGATATGCTATTAGTGGGTGTGGTGGCTGACAATCTTCATCTATGAACAAGACTTTTCGTTTATTTTCGAGACTATCTATTTTAACTTTCTTTAAAACAGTGATAGTAAAAGATTATGTAAGTCAAATTGCTGATAATGTTAATTAGATATATATTCAGTAACTGCATTCCAGTGTAATATTAACTTGGTGTATTTGTTGTTTCTTGCCAAGCATTTTCTTGCACTTAGAATAACAGACGGAACAGTTTATCATATTATTTTAGACTTGACTGAGTGACAGAATATCAGATTTGTTCTAATTTATTTACATGCCAATACCAATATGCAGTGAGCAGGAATCTGGATTACACCTAAAGATTATGCGATACAGAAATAATTACAAAGGTGTTAAAATTACTTATATTCACACGACATTCCATCTTACTTATATTCACATAACTTATATTCACACGATATTCCACATCACTTTGTATCCACACGACATTCTACATTAGTCATATTCACACGACAGTCTACATTACTTATATCCACACGATGTCCCACATTACTAATATTCACACGACATACCACATTACTTATATTCACACGATATTCCATATTACTTATATTCACACAGCATTCCACATTACTTATATTCATTCACACGGCCTTCCAAATTACGTATATATACTATTAAAAAAAAGTAGGGGATATTTGATTTTGGGGGCATAATACTAAAATATGCAAATGACTACGAAAAAAGTCACTATAGAACCTAACAGAAGAAACATTTCCAGTTACATGTGACGCCCAAACGCACCAATAGCTACCGCATGGAATGCAGGTGATGCTTGGGATCATCATGGGGGTCCAACCCAAGATTTGCACGACTCTGACTTTGAATGTTACAGTCATTGTGGCATTGAATTCCAGGGTGGAAACATCAGTTTAATTGTTTTAGTGACCAGAAAACAAATTTTGATATGCGTCGGCTTACCCAAAATGAAAGGTTACGTGCCCTTGGCATGCTACAGATCGGCACAACACAGGCGGTTGTGGCGCGGACGATGAATGTTTCTCAGTCTGTCATAAGCAGGCTATGGTCCAGATACCGTGATACACAATCTGTACAGGACAGACCACGCTCAGGTCGACCAAGGGCGACAACTCAAGCCCAGGATCGATTTATCCGTACCTTGGCCTTGAGAAATCGTGTCATCACAGCAAATCAGATCAGCGCTCGTCTTCAAACAGACACTGGTGTGAGAGTGAGTGGCCAGACGATTCGGAATCGACTGCATAGGGGTCACCTTCGCGCCCGACGTCCTCGCGTGATCCCTTGTTTGAGAGATCATCACATTCAGGCAAGACGTCGTTGGTGTAGGGATCGTCAACACTGGGATAATCGACGCTGGAGCAATGTGATGTTTTCAGATGAGTCAAGGTTCACTGTTGATTTTTTGGACAGACGTAGGAGGGTGTGGCGTCGTTGAAACGAGCGCTTCCAAGACGTTAACGTCATCAGACATGATCGATTTGGGGGTGGTTCTGTTATGGTGTGGGGAGGCATCACTGTTGCTGGAAGAACGGCTTTACATGTTGTTGCAGGGCGTGTTACAGGCCAGTACTACCGGGACAACATCTTGGCAGTCCATGTTATGCCGTTCGCACGACGTCATGGCCGCCGTTTCATCTTCAAGGATGACAACGCAAGATGTCACAGGGCCAGGATCGTTACAGGTTACCTCCAACAACAGAACATCACCACATTACCTTGGCCAGCACTGAGTCCCGACCTCTCCCCCATCGAGCATGTCTGGGACATGCTTGGACAGAGGTTACGTCAACGTCAACAACGTCCTGCCAATGTCCAAGAACTTGCTGCTGCGTTGCAACAGGAATGGGACAATCTGGACCAAAATGACCTTAGAGGTCTCATTAGGAGTATGCCACGTCGGATCAATGCTTGTTTGGCAAACAGAGGAGGATTTACCCGTTACTGACTTGGTTGTGATGCTGTGGTAACTTTGCTGTTTGACCCCGGGTATCATTTTACCCTTTTAATGGTCAGTCTGTGCCTTACTTAGTCTAACGATGATTTGGAATAAATCGATGAATGTGAACTTCATTTCATTTTGTCATTTGTTTCTTCGTCAGTTTCATTAGGTGACTTTAATAACACTTAAAAATCAAATATCCCCTACTTTTTTTGAATAGTATATATCCTAACCGAAGTAACAGACGTATTTTTCCCGCGGCTCACTAAGTAGGAGGTCCAGGGTTCGAGTGAGATTTTGGCCGGAGGGCCTGGCAAGAAAACCCCGAGTATATTAGTTCGGATTGGACGAAAACTGGGGCTCATCTATGCTGGCCTAGAGGGCATCTCAAGATTTTCCTGGGAAATTTACCCTTGTCAGTGGTATAGAGGGGAAGGCCTGGCAAGGAACAAAATCGAATCGTTCAGATGGTACGAACAGTCGAGGTCCTATGTACACGTTGGCGTGCTCGTAAAAGCACCCTTGACAATTGGAAACTAGGACGTCTAAACCCCATTTCATTTCTAACATTATTACAGATGAGAAAGCACTTGGTCTACTTACATACCACCTTCATGGCCAGATTCTAATCGTGTTGCTCAGCGGCTATAAATCGACTTTATCACCCAATAATACATTCTACAGTAGATGTCGCTTGTGTGATATCTCCTTAGGAGATATCGCTTTACATGAATTTGATTGGTCAATCAAAAAGGAACTATTTTTTTTTTAAAGAACAGTTCATTTTTTATTCAAAATATCTTCTTTCTTATTAAAAAGGGGACTATTTTTATTTAATTGACTTTCATGGAAACACTGGGTCAATATAAAGGACTTTGCAATGGTTAAATTGCTGTCAAAAAATGTTGTATCACTACGCCGTAATGTAATCAGGTTCAGTTAAAGTGAAATCTATAGCAAAGAATTATATTTATTTATTTGTGCATGCAAGAAAGGAGAACCTGATAAATAAAATCTCCTACTCGTCTTTTTTGATATCAAAAAATATCAACACTCGTCGATAAAGTAAAAAAAAATCGGCAGAGCCTCGTTTTTTTTTTTACTTTATCGACTTGTGTTGATATTTTTGCTATCAAAAAAGACCCGTAGGGGATTCTCCATGTAACATTTTCCTAACAACCCAAAATGTTTTACCGCAGATAAACGATATACAAATATCGAGGGTAACGGGGTGGGGTAAATATTGTGGCTGTTTTTAGACACCGATCTTTTCAAATGTTTTGATCATTGAGTATTATTTGAATGTTTGTTTATATGATTATTATTTTGCATTTGCTTTGCATACAATTTCTCTTTGATTTCAAATCTTTTTATCATTGAGTATTATATGAATGATGTTTATATGAGTATTATTCTGCATTTGTCATTTTAATAAATGGCTTATTTCTATTATTCACATCGGTGTTTGTTGTCCTTTAGGCAAAACTGCCCCTTCACGAGTAAGGTAATCGCAAAGTTGGGGTTTTGTACCCCCACGGGTTCTTGTTGCTCAATCAAAATCAGCGGTCACCATGCCCCTGATATTCGGACATCATGCAGTCGGGAGAGTTAATCCGGAAAGTAACAGAGGCTGTTTCCCATTAACACTTAGAACTAGATAAGATTTCGCACGACAAGACTCACTCCAGGGCAATGTGTGGTTTATTTTATTCACTACTTTGAGGGGTTGCTTAAAATAAAGTAAGATATTGTCAATCTGTTGAAGGTAAACGAAGGCTCTGTGCATTTATTTGTCACGGCTTTACCGATAGGCCAATTTATTTTACTATCCGGTAATCATGCGTGGATTTACGTACAAGGTTTATTTTTATTTGAATATTGTATGGAGCGCTGATTCCTTGATGTATTATTGTTTTCCTATCATGGCAACAGCATTACACCATTCTCTAGACGAACAGCGCACACAGTCAGAGGTCCAAAACCCCAATATTATTTATGAAGCCTAAAATACAGATCTATATTTCGTTTCGTTTTTTTATACTTTCGATGGCCTACACTACATGAAGATCTGACAAGTTGTACTCGAAGGTTGTGTCAGGGGTCGTACGAGCGGCTTTTGACCCAATGACGTCAGACATTGATTAATCAATTAGCGTTGACGTTCCTAATGGGTTACCCACAGTTCCGAGTATGGCACGCCAAGAAGTCACCGTAACAGACCGTTTCATTGGCTTATCCCTCACTTCAACCAAAACGCCGGTAATATAACAACTCTTCCAGATCCTAGTGTAGTAAAGACAAGTAAAATCAAATTTTGAACTATAAAAAACGAAACGAAATAGGATCAGTGTTTTAATTAGATTGTTTTCTCTAAAGACAGTTCGCATCCTCTCTGGTAATTAAATCCGGAAACATCTGTGACGTCATTACCAATGAGAAACTATTACTTTTATTACACATGCATTGTTATAGCATGTGACAGTCCTGGTCTAGCATTTAGAAATCATGTAAAATAATGAAGAACGCACAGTAAGAAGAATAGATCATTTAGATAATCAGCAAAATGTCGTATTCGCAATATGCATTACATATACGCCCACGGAGCTTCAACATATAAATGTTATATTGCAAGCCTTGCAGTTGAACGCAATTAAAATGTAAAAGGTCGCCATAATGCATTCACACCCAATCACCCTTGACCTGCTACCGGGGTTCCGTCTCATATGCCTTCGTCGTGGTATTTACTGATTGATGGAGCTTTAATACTCATTGGTATTGAAATCGTTTGATGGAATCCACCAACACCGCCTTACAGATGTTCTTTAGACATGCGCTTTCATTAGTTTAACATTTGGGAAACAGCAGAATAAACACAGAGGAGAGAATATGGCCGAGTCCAAGTGATCACATATCACTGATTACTACACAGTACAAAAACATCTCAGCCCATAGAAATAATACCAAGAGATCTACATTCACTCAGAGCAGCCTCTTTGATTTTATTTATTTTCGCGAATTTGCATCTTTCAACTTTTTGGCATTTCAGCTATTTATAAAGGCGCATTATTTGTTTCTAATATTCCTAAATTGGCATTCTTAAATGAAGCATCATTCAGGGCTGGATTTACCAATAGGCATAGTCGGCCATTGAGCAAGGGCTCGCGGGTATCTGGGGGTCCCACTGAAATTAATTTGTTTGATGTGTACATCGGGTCATTATTATAATATATTCAAAAACATCAGGGCCACTGTACAATAATTAGGGCGCGGGTTATGGGGGCCCTTGTACAAAAAGTATAGGCCCTCAGTGGTCTTCAATATATATTGGATACTGAAACATTCCAACATTTCTATAAATTGGGTACCCGCTGATGAGTTAGGCCTAGGACCCAAAGAAGTGATAAATCCGGCCCTGGTATTGGTTATAATTACCCGTAATCTATTTATAGAAAAAATATATGATTTATATACATCTTACTTACTCCTATCAGCAATGGTTAGTTTCCCATTTCATATAAATCAAGTGATAATGCTAGAGTTCAGCATTTGTAAGTCGGTGCACAGTTTATGAATAAGATTCGAGTGATATTTTTTAATTAATTAAAATGTACCTTGTAACGACAAAATACAAAGCCGTTCTCAAGTTGTGTGATGTTGAAACGGTGGCGTGTTGATACCATTTTATTGAAACTATCAGTTAACTAATAAGACATATTCACTTATAGTAAGTTATAGGTTAATTGAACATAAATTATTAAGTTAAACGCTGGAAATCTGACCTATTTCATATGGAATTCCTGTATGGTTAAAATTTTCTTACATAGTACAGGTAAATATCAGCCTAATAAAACTGTAAGATATAATATAGGCGTTGTAGGCTATTGCACTCAGTCGCCAAATTCCTTCTCCAAACGGTATACAACGAGAATGAAGGACGCGCATGCCCACGTGATTACCTGAAGTTGTGCTGTTTTGGCAATAAGATTCTTGCCGCTTCTGAGTGCTAGAGCGGGCGGTTTGGAATCACATTTTCTGGCAGTATATATTACACTAGGAGAAACACCCTATCCAACACGACTTTCAGGAGAAGTTTCTACTAAAACAATATGGTAAGTTCATTTATTATTTTATGTTTATTAATTTGGATGGTTATTTTTAACCACCCAGAAATAAAACACATCTTACGATAGGATGTTTATTTGACAAATTGGATATATGACATTTTTTAAGATTAGCATAGGTCACAAAATGATTCAATCTAACACAATATTTGTGAATCGTGGGGTGGGAGGGGGGGGGGGAAGGACGGGATCTAGGTGGGAACATTATAGAGAATCCATATATAAGACCAGAGTACAAAAAAGGTAACATAACATAATGGCTCATGTTTTTCACAAAACCCTCTGTGCTGAAATATACCCGAAATTATCATTATCAGATGGAAATTATTAGATTTGCATAATAATTGTTCCAAGATTCGGTATGGTCCAAAAGCAAGATACAATCAGTGAATAATGTTTAATGCGCATCGTGAGCTATCAACTTGGCATTATCTGCTTGTCAGCAAAAATAGTATTACCGGTAGAATCCACGGTCATTACCTGCTTTTCTTTTCAATTTATTTCTTTGACAAACGCCCAAAATTATTTCTATTAATACATATTATTTAGAACTTTTGGCAAAGATTTGGGAGGGGTTAGATGGTTCTTTTTTTAAAAAAACCCAAAAAACCCCCCCAAAAAAACCATGAACTACACATAAACTTTATGGAGACACCCATACTAGTAATGTTAAATCGAGATAATGAAATATGATATTTATTCCATGATATATTCTTTTCGATAAACTGCAGTTATGGGCATTCAAAGAACCAGAAAACACTTAGCATTGTCACATATCATACTGCAACCACATGACTGAAACATTGGATTTTGCACTTTCAAATACCACTGGGCATGTAATTATATGCTTCAATTCAAAGACGGGTTTTATACTGTTAATGTACGTAAAGAAACCTTTGGGCTTTCAGAAAGTTGATCGTTATTGCCTCTGTCCTTGGCACGTGTTCATCTCACTGTAAGAATGGTTTTACAAGTGTTTATTTTATTTGAGAGAGATGGAGGGTGTGTGTGTGTGTGTGTGGGGGGGGGGGGGGGGGTAACGTCCACACAACACAAAGTAGGTCATTTCTGGACTGTGGCAATATGGTAATCCGTCTAGTACTATATATTTAAAAAATGTATTTGTGTTTGAGAATACTTTTGAGCTTTTTTAAATTTCAGGCAAGATGGTTTTAGGGCAACATTTCAGAAATATTTGAGATTAATATGAAAATAAGTAAATTTTCAGAGAAAGAAAGAATTAAAACAATACCGAAATTTATCATCAATATAATTGCATGTTAATATTGTTAAAATCTTGGGTGATTCCCAGGTTATTTTGGATGATTAACGCTAGGAGTTTTCTTTCGTCTCAATGTTTTACAAAGGTCAAGTGATCAATTGTTGGTATTTTAGGAATAAGTTTGGTGCCAACAAAAGCACTATTCCTCACTATAACTCCCCTGTTATTATGCTAGATTGACTTGTAGATTATTATAAGGTTTATATCTCTCTCGGGCATTATGTCGAGTCTTTGAAGATGGAGTCTAGGACTGTTCTTGATATTGCAAAGCAGGAAATAAATAATATCATCAATGCTGACAGTTAATTAATTTTGAACATTTTAAGGCTCAATAATTTCATGCCACTTTTACGGTTTTAATCATATATTGTCACATTTAGTGTAACCCTTGCATATTCACAATAATTGCTTTATTGTCTGTGTCTTTCATTTTTGGAGTATTAGATTATTTTGAAATTATTATATTCGATCTTGAACAATGGAATGTAATTATAGTACTCTAATTGATATAATTTGCATATCATTCTGGGCACAGTACGCATTTGTCACATTATTAAGAATTTACCAATGTCTGCTTGCATAAATCAAATCCTTCGACTCAACAAGCATAAAACATATTTTTTTTCAATATTCCTGACTCACAGCCATCACATGGGTGCAATGGTTGGTTCAAAGGAAGGTTTATTACTCGCTAAGCTCATGTATATGGCAGCCAAATCTCATTCGTTCAAGGTATCTCATATCACCGGTATGGTTTAACCATTATGCTAATTTTAGAGACGTGATATTTTGGCATCAGTCCTATTTATTTTCCTCGTCTCATCAGCTTTGTAAATTAAGTACCGTTATATTTATGTACATATATACGTGTACTATTAAGATAATATGCATACACACACACACATATAAACTAAATTAAAGAAAGTTATATATATAAATAGACGTACCATTAACTTGCAAGTAGACTTTATATTAAAGATGCATTGTAAGATTAAGATAAAAACGCTGATCGATCTTGCTAGGATAGCTCAATCAGATTACTTTATTCTGATTTATGGAATCTTGACAAGAAATAGCATGAATGGTCTCGATTGTAATAAACGAAGTCTCGTTTTTCTAGTTTAGAGAGAGAGGAATGGGGTTTAACTTCCACTCGACACAAACTAGGTCATTTCGGGACTAACATATGGTTTAATTTTATTTCAATAATTCGCATGCGCGTAGGGGTCTTTAGCGGTGGGAGGAAACCGGAGGAACCAGAGAAAACCCACGAGGTTGGACAGGCGACCCTACTCCTTGTCACGCACAATCGGGGATTCGAAACCACGCCAGTTGACTCAATGACAGGCTTTTATAATACAGCACGCACGTGCTAACCATTCGCCCCCCTCCCCCGTTTTCTAGTTTAACCCTTAACGAAGATATATGTCTGATATTGTCTAATCCAATCAATATCTCAGCCATCCGATGACCAGGAGAGTTGGGTTGCGTGCTTGTTTTGTGAATAAATGTCTAATATTTAGCTTTTACAAAGTGTATATTGAAGTTGACCTATAAATCACGTTACAATTTTGAATTGAAGAGAAAGAAAATTATTAAGCTAATTACGGCACACCAAGACATAACAGTTTAAATCATTTTAAGTAAAAGCTTTTTATTTCCTAAATGAATTAGTGTTAAAATACCTTTTAACAGAGTTCTAGCACACCTGGCGATGGCGTGTATATGTTACGTTCACAGATTCCATGAAACAAAACTCCACTTAATTGTGTGCACAATGCATAATTGGAAATATATCGCCCCCTTCCACCATTCCCCTGTCACATATTTAGCTAAAGCATGTGATCTTTGATCACTCTCGAACCATTTTCGCAATTTTCGTATCTCCGAAGCCTAAATAAAGGCCTTACTGTATTGAACAACATTTTCTTTGTTAAATAACGAATGATTAGCAGCCTTTTTTTAAAAGAACTAATCAATCACCATGTAATGAATCAAATGGAGACTAGTCAAAACCATATACATAGTGGCGGACTGGGTCTGAAAATATTGGTTGCCAGGAGACAAAAGGGACCCACCCACCAATACAATCATCTAATATTTATATACTTTTTGATAATTCATATTTTAAATATATTGTCTACTGTCTAAGGGGGCCCACTTCCTAATGGACCCACTTGTCACTGGGCAAGCTGACAACCTGGAGAACGAGTGACACCTGCGACTAGCTGCTGTCTGCGAGTAAGCTGACGTTAAGTCCTACGAACGAATGAACGGAACTATACCTAGACACAAAAACTGTACTTTGATGTTGTAGTAGGGGACAAGACTGCGAGTAGTGTGGGGCGAAAAAGAAGTGAGATGCTCAACAGTATCAGAATGCACTATTACCGTCATCCTTGAACCAGGTGAAGAGGGCCGAATTTGTTCTGTGGATGTCGCCACTGATCTTCCATATGATCGTGTAATCATCATAAAATAAATGAAATATATAAACTTATCTACATCGTTTCTTCTAGTGTGCTATGGGAAAAGTTTTAGATAAACAAGTCATTATTCTATCGCTAATACAACTTCTATAAATAAAATAACTACATTAGAGTTATACACACCCGCCAAGATAACTAATAAACATTGGTGTTTTGTTATTTTGGCTGTACATCAGCTTTATAAGAACAATTTGTTTTAAAAAAATCGACATAGCACGAAGAATGAATATTAAAAGAAGCGTAGTGTAAATATTGCTAAAACAGATTACTGAACAGAAATATTTGCATGTTAAACACAAAAGAGCAATACTGTGTCATTATCAAACGTTATTGTAAGTCATAACCGTTTGCAACGCTGTAAAATACTAAAAGTTAGTACAATAATAATGGTATTAGCCTAACTCAAAACTTTGATATTTTAATTTAGAATGGTATTAGTGTTGCCAAAAAATATTTTAATTTTAAATGGTATTAGAAAAGCTCAAAACAATAAATATTTTAATTTCAAATGATATTCGAGTTGCCAAAAACAATAACACTTCTATTTCAAATGATATTGGAGAAGTTCTGGGTAGTAATATTTCAATTTCAAGTTGTATTAGAGTAGCTCAAAACAATAATATTGAACACTTACAATTTACAAATAATAACAGTGTTTAGATAATCTATCTTTGTGTGGCAGTTAAGACAAAGGAATAGTCTATTATTGAGCACAAAAGATCATTCCTAATACAGGTATTCTTGATTAAAGTTTAGATCACACATGACCCGAATGCATACTCATCGAGTAAAAATGACGAGTGGTGTTTACTTTGAGGCAGAGGAATGGTAAATTAGGCGTTGAAATTGATATTACCTCTTTTAAGCCGGGCATAATTTGTTATGAGGTAAATTCGTTGAAGTGAAGCACTTCAAATTTCCTTTAATGAGCTGCGCTTTTAATGAAGAAGAGATGCAGGCTCGTGTTTTCATTAAAGAATTCGTTATTTACGACACGAGATAAATATTTCAGCATTTAATCTGAAGCTTTTGGCAAGATCAATGATTCAGCCGGTCTAATTATTTCCGGAACAGCTAAACTCAAGACTTGCACACCCCAGCTACTCAACGGGTTTAGTTATTAGATGAATCGTATCAACCAAATATCTAACAGCTTTCATCACGAAATATGAGAAGCTTTGTATAGTATACTTTCATGATTTATTTCCCTATTGGTT